TGGTTACAAGATTCTAAATTAAGAATTTCTTTCTCTTTGCAGTCACTCTCTTCCAGGGGTCATTCTTTATCATAGATTGTAACCATGTTTATTCAGTAGATAGAGTTAGGTGTAGGACATCAGAAGTCACACATGTAGAAGAAGCAGAAGATGAGCAGGAGGTAGTCTCTAAATAAGATGAAACGGGAAGTTTCTAGAACCATTTCTGATGACTTACTTTGACAGTTTTCAAGCCATGCCCCTCTGTCTGCTTGTCTTTTATCTGTAGCTCAATTCTGAACTTAATAATTTGGCATTTATTGAGTGTTTGCCATGAGGAGAGCATTGTGCTAGTCTCTCAGAATATAAAAATGCCAAAGTCAGTCTCTGTCTTAAGACTAAAGGGAGACCAGATGCGGATTTCACAATATGCTAATACTTGGTGGGAGTTATAAAGGGGACTTGGAAGAGAGGATGTTAATTCTGCCTGGTCAGGGATCATTGACTTGGATCAGAGGTGCCGCTCTGGGTAGGGATTTGAAAGGTTCAAAAGATGGGTGGATATGCATGTTGATTATGGTACTAGATATGCAGGTGGACAGAGTTGAGGAAGCCACATACAATACATGGCATAATGGTGGCTAGCCATGTTTTTATACTTATGTGAACATTCTTGAATGCTGGAAATTCTAAAATAAATTAACTTTAGATGGTGGCAACTTCCTCTTGGGTATATTCTTAGGGTTCCATTGATGAGAGACCCATCATTTTACACTGGTTCCGATGCAGTTGAACTAGTTTTAGACTGAGGTGCATCTACAGGTCATTGTTGCAGGATTAGCCCTAGACCCTGCAACCTGGACCAGGGTCTCATTCCTGCTCAAATGTGGACAAGCCAGGGAGTGTTTTCTGGGCCTGCATCTGATTGGAATTGTAAGTTTATGTTTATTACTGGCTTCTTTTCTAAGTGGCTGCCAGTGGAGTTGATAGCGGGCTGAACATGGCAGCCATGCAAGGAGTTAGAAACCCTGCCAGGGAACACCAGGCCCACTTCGTTTTATGTGGCTGCAGCTGTGACTATTACATGTGTGGATTTTTTTAAATGAGAGGATAGAGAACTTGAAAAAGTTATTTCTTTTCTAAAAAGGTAAGTATTGGATAATTTACTGCCCCCTTCTGCTTTCTCTCAGTTAGCTGGTGTATTTATTGAAGTAACAGAATTTAGACATTTTGGAGCCATTCCTAATGGTCTGGATTCCAGCTCACTTAGGCATAGATCTTGACTTTGACCTGCCCCTAGCCCCATTTCAAGTTACTCTGTGTCTGCATCTGCCTTTGTTACAGCATATAGTAACCTACCATACTTCATGACAGCAAATTGTTACAAATTTATGGAAATTTTTAAAAATTTATTTTTGGAGCTGGGGATTGAACCCAGGTTCTTGTACATGTAGAGCTAAGCATGTACTCAACCACTGAGCCACATCGTCAGCCCATGGCAAGATTTTTTAAGTACCATAGTCTTCTGAAGGGCAAATATCCCCGTATATATAGTGATCACATTCATAATAATTTACTGAACATCCCATTTGATGTTATCCTAGTTTTAATTCAAATATGCATGTCCTATTAAACATTTGTGGTGCATTGCGTTGTCGTGTGCATATTTTGTTGCATTGTCTATTGCCTGTTTCTTTCTCTATGTGAATGTGGTAATAGTGCCAGCTGCAGGGTTATAGTGAGGATTTTAGCAAGTTTAAGTAAGTGAACGTAGTACCATTTTAATTGATTAAGCTCTTCTTATATTTTAGGCTTTGTTTTGAGTCTTTGCATGTGACACCTAGTTTAACCCTCCCCAAACTCAGTGAAGTAGGTAGTGGTGGTCTCCCCATCATAGGATGGAGGAAGCGTAGGTGCTAATATGATTGGTCGACTTGGTGAGAGTTAATGAGCTAATAGCAGCAGAATTTGATTCTAGCCAATGTCCACCTAGACTTTTGTGGGCCTGTGCTTTTGCATGTCTAGCCTATAATGCATATTCATAGCACTGCTTCCTCTTATGGTCAGATAGCTTGCTGAGCTCAAGGCTTCAGGACAACCTGGTTAATAAGCTGAAGAGGGCATCTTTAAGATACTTGATAGCATCGAGGGTGGGGAAAACTTCTCTATGTCTGTATTCAGGTGATGTGAGCTCCACCTCTCCCTGGTGTACCACATTCTGTATAGCCCTCTTTTTGGCCAGCACCTTGCTGCATCACTTCTATGGGCATGCCTTAGATGGTCAGCTCTAAGCCACACGAGGAAGCAAGGAAGCGTTGCTGTAGCTAACAGAATCTTTTGCCTGAGCTACATATGCCTGAGATTCTATCAACCTGGTATTTTGTCTGTAACGTGTATGTGATTCTGCTGGGACAATTTGTCTTCACAATGCTACAGGTACTTATAGGTCATAATGATTTTTCCCCACCACCTTTACTCATCCTTTGGCCAAACTTAATAAATGTTCAGTGCTTTTTGTCTTTGTGAAGCGGAAGGCACTGGGTTGCAATCACTTCTGTGGTGGCTTATGTGGTTTCCTAGGTACTGAGTTCTGTGGTGACATGATGCCTGTATATTTTAGGAGGGTGAGAGAGAGGAAGGAGTAGAAGGTGAAACCTTGTCAGTGCAGAATGATGTGGTGGGAAATTTAACAGCCACAAAGATTTACTGGTTAAGTCCAAGGAAATAGCTGTCATCTGTCAGTGAAGTTTAATACATGATACTCTGGTGTGGAAATTTGAATGCTGTTATTGTCTCAAACTTCTCTAAAGCCAGTATCTTCTGTGTTTTCATTTCTCTTCCTGTAAATTCATCTTTGAGAAATTGCAAAATGAAGTCTTTTTAAGTGGCTTTGATAGTTTTTGCGATTTTTTCAATTTCACATCATCCACAAATTTTCTAAATACAAGTATTTTTTGTTATGCAGATATTTGGTACTGAATTGATAGTAAGGTTGGGTACTGAGGAATTATCTCATTATCTGAAACTGTTTGATTGCTAAATTTCAGAGAATGAGTAGCAAGAATTTTGATATGTGCACCAGGAAAAAAATACGTGTGTCTTTTTAGTTTCTAAGTTCTGATATTAAGGGTTTCATAGCCTCGGCATTATTGGCATGTGAGACCAGATAACTTTTAATTGGCAAAGGTGAGGAGCCTGTGAGTTGTAGGATGTTTATCTGGACACCACCTGCAGGATGTCCCCCTAGTCATCTCACACTTACAATAACCAAGTGTATCAGATTATCTCTGAGGGTAAAAGGGCAAAATTGCCCCCTTGAAAACCATTGCACTTAACTAATTTATAAATAACACGAAACTCAAAAGAATTGCAAAGACTGTCATAACTACTTAGAGATACTTCAGTTTGTCAATTGCATGGAAATAATTTTTTTTTTTTTTTTGGTACTGGGGATTGAACCCAGGAGCACTTAACCATTGAGCCACATCTTTAACTCTTTTTTATATTTTACTAGAGACAGGCTCTCACTGAGTTGCTTAGGGCCTTGCTAAGTTGCTGAGGCTGGCTTTCGACTCAAGATCATCCTTCCTCAACCTCCTGAGCTGCTGGGATTATAGGCAGGCGCCACCGTGCCTGGCCAGAAATAATTTTTAAGGAAAAAAAATACTAATAAAAGAAAGGGAGAGATTACCTTTAAAAGTTAAGTACATTAAGTTTTTTATATGAAAAGAACATCATATATTAAACCTTATGATTGTATGATAACTATTTCCCTAGACTTGGTCATATCCTGCCTCTTCCATTTGCTGTTCTCAAAATTAACAATAGTGCTTCATTGATCTTATTTCTAAGTTCTCTTACTACCCTGTAGTGCAGTTTCAGATAACCAACTAGTTCTTTCTTATTGATGACAAGTAAATTTCAGCTAGCCCTTCTTTGTGTTATTTTAAAGAGTTGAAATTTTCAACCAGGGAAGAATTTATCAAAGGATGGATGTGCTTTGAGGTCTACCAGCAGCTCTCTGGATGGGAATGCCAATTTCTCTGGCAGTTGGCCTCCATGCTGGGTTTATAATGTGTCCTGGAAAACATTCCCTACCTCTCACTGGGCAGTATATAATCCTTTCAGTTCTCTCTTCCTTCCCTCAGACAGTCTCTATTTTTATTGCATAGTCAGTGGCAGATAAATGCCTTCTTTGTATGTTACTGTTCTCATCCCTTCCTGTGAGATTTTTTAGTTTGAAGGCATGTATTTGTATTGCTTTATTCCATTCCAACCATTTTCCAACATTCCAACAGAATGTCAGTTGCATGTATGCTGAAAAAATTAATTTATTTTAATGTGAATAGAATCTGAGGCTATTTACTGTGTTTTTTTAAAAAAACAATGTCAGAGTCCATTTTAGTTACATGAATGCAAATAATTTGTAATTTAGATTTTATTCAATGAACACATTTTTTTTCTGAGTGGTATAATTATCAGTCCTTTTTGTTGATGCTTCCACAAACTTCAGTTAAGTGAATTAGAGTATCTGATACAGCAGTTACGACTAAAAAGTTGTTGTATGTCCAAGATACTGTGTTGTTTTATGCTAATGACTATCATTTTTAGTACAGAAATAGTAATTATAAATAAATAAAATGTTGTTATACTGTATTGCTGTTTTGGAGATAATTTGTTATACTGAAATTTTTCTGAATCTTTTCTAGATCTAAGTTTACGTATTTTTAGAAATTTTCCCTTAGTGTATGCCAGAGAGGAGTGAGTAGCTTTGATAATGAAATGAGACCTTACAGGAATATTTCTAGGGCAGCTATAATACTTCAAATAAGAATCAAATTGAGAAGGCAGAAAAAGAGAATTATTTTCCATCTTTGACTATCAATAAAATAAGAGTAATGATGGCAGCAGAAACCGAAAATACTGTTCTAATTTGCCGTTTTTTTTCCAGCATGTGATGTAGAACTACCTATTTTTATATAACCAAAGTAATGGAAATGTAATTTTTATTTTCATAATAGGAGGTGGAATAAACTAAGACTGCAAGACAAAGAGAAACGTCTGAAACTTGAAGATGATTCTGAGGAAAGTGATGCCGAATTTGATGAAGGTTTCAAAGTGCCAGGCTTTCTGTTCAAAAAGCTCTTTAAGTATGTGCCATGTGTTTTGTCCTTTAAATTTGTCATTGAGCCATTGGGTACAAATTAATATTTTAGGAATTACACATTAGTTACCTGTAGGCCCTTAAGGTACTTGGCAGCAATTTATTGCAAATACAAACACTGTCAAATGAAATTTTAGCCACATGCTGTTCATTAAAATTAGATGATAATAAATTGACTAAAGTGCGCGTTGGGTATGTTTGTAAACTGATGAATCTATATAGACCTATCTCAGCAGACTAAAAGCAACATATTTAAAAACCTCTCCATTGAATTATTTTTTTGTTTTTAGTAATTTTAAGGAACCAAACCGCTAATTCTTACTTCAGACTAATTTTAAAAAGAGTTGTATACTAAAATCAATATCAAGAGTTGTATGTTAAAATCAAACCTCTGGAAGGGTCCCCCCCGCCCTTTTAACTTCTGTGTAGAAATAAAAAAATGTTCACATGATTTTCTGAGTGTCCTATATCATACCTAAGGGTATAATACGTTTGAGTTGACCAAATGTGCTTCTAAATATTTTATGTAGATGTCATTCTAATGTCAGAAGAGAAGACTTAGGCAACACCTCGAGGATTAAGTTGCTATTTGAGGCTGACTTGTTTCTTATGTAAAAGGGCTGAGTGTTAGGGAGGAACAACTACTGCCTGATAAGATGTACCCTTTGAGTCTATAGGCTGGGCATCTCCCATGATAAATGTAAATAGTAAGGAACATTTTCCATCTTCTCACTCCTAGGATTTACTTAACAAGATGCTTAGGAAGGCTTCTTAGCTGCATGCAGGAAATTAAACCATTAAATAGCTTCTTTCTCTCTTTTTCCTATCAATTCATAGTTGGTAGCAGGATGCAAATTTCTTTCTGTGAGATGATTAAGTTTGATGTCCTTTATAGATTCAGGCATCAGCCATGCCCTAAACTTGTGGAAAATGTCTGCTTAAAAGTAGCATGCTCTTTGGGCTGGGGTTGTGGTTCAGTGGTAGAGCGCTTACCTAAGCATGTGTGAAGCCCTGGGTTTAATCATCAGCACTACATAAAAATAAACAAACAAATAAGTAAAGGAGTTGTATCCAACTACAACTAAAATATATATATACAATATAGCATGTTCTTTATATTTCCTTTCAAAGAGTCCATGTATATACACATATACATACACACACACACACACACACACCCTCCATGTATACATGGGATATGTGTATTGGGCTGGGGATCGAATTCAGGGCTTCAGGCATACCAGGTGAGTCCTCTACCTCTGAGCTACATCCTCAATCCTTTATTATGGCTTTAATTTCTCTATGCAGAGTTGGGGGAGAGGTAAAGAGTAGTTATTTCATCTCACTACACTTAGAGCAAAGAGGAGTCCTTAGAATAGGCAAATTGGTACACTTGGGTGACCATAACTGAACAGAGAAGAATTGCAGGTAAAATTTGAATCTCTAGTAATTTCAGCAGAGAAGTCATTTCATAGCCTGGAGAGGTGGCTGCTTTGTTTATTGCTTCTCCCAAATGAAAACCAACCATGGGAAAGTAAATAAAGGCAACATTTAATGGTCACTCTTTCATTTTCTCTAAACCGATTGCTTATTAAGGAATAGTATGAGTGTTGTACTAGCAAAAGGAATACCCACATTATAGATTCGATTGATTTAACAAAGACAGGATGCTTCTGCATGTGTAGTAAGTGATTTGGCAAATAACCTGAGGAGTCGAGTTTGAATATGCATTTTTATACAAATGTCAGGTTTTCTAGCAAAGAAATTTCACAATTAATAGAATCAAACTTATGCTTACTAAGAATGTTTGTACTTACTAAGAGTCAATATTTTGACTATTAACCCTATTGTATTAAATATTGAATGCATGCTGTTTGTGTTTTTAATTAGTTTTAAACATACATTCTTAGAAAGTATTTTATTGTTTATCAAAACCAGAATTTTAAATATTTTATAAGTGTTTTAAAACTTCTGTTCCTGTTCTTCTACTGTATAAAAAGATTAATAGGAGTCTCCATTTTTCTTTTAAGATTAAGTTTTACCAGGCCAATTTAATTTTAAACTATAGATGTTTTTACTGTGCTCTGTGGAATTGAATTAACAGGGTCTATAGTTGTACACCAGGGAGTCAGAAGGTAGAGTTATCCACTTAAGTGCTGTTTTCTTCAAGATAATGTCTAACTTCTAAATTTTTGTTTTGAAAGTTTGCCCAGCAAATGCATTCATCTGTATAATTTAGCAGTCACATGACAAACTTGTATCTTTTGACCTTACTTTTAGCCAAACTAAAATGGTTTGAGTTAATATGGCAGTGCTAATATACACCAATTTTTGTGGTTATTTTGTGATGTTTGGTACTATGGAGATGGCAGAGTACAATATTTTGTTAATATTTTTAAATAGTTTATAAGAATCTTTACCTTCTTTAAAGAAAAATTTTCATGCTTTTCAAAGGCTTTGAAACTGGATTCTGTAATCTGTTTTCATCTCAACTGTGTAATTGTTTTATAGTATTTTACACTATTTATTATTTGAAAAGTAGAGCAATAAAACCATTCAGTACCTTTGCTGGAACCAGAGCCCAGGCCTCCTCACTCCTCACCCAGCATACACCCCTGCTGACCATAGTGCATGTGTGAGTGAATTTCCTTCAACTTCAAGGATCTACCTGTGCTGTGGGTGTAAATAAAGAACGAGCTACTCTGTACCATCTTTGTGCAATAGCCTATTGGAGATTTCCATGTGGAAATGTGACTTACAGATTTTTCCTGAAGTCGTTTCTTTAGTGCTACCCATCTTCTTGTAAACACATAATCATGCTGTTTGAGAGCTCTTGGAAATGCAGTTGGGGATGTGATAACAACCAGCACATTGCCTTTGAGGGTCATGTGGAATCCAGTGTCTAGCTCCCTCCCAGACTACTTCTGGGATACCATACTGATTACCATTCCTTATCAAAATTTCCCAGTTGCTGTTCTCCAGATTCTTCCCACTTAAATGTTTAGGCCCCAGATAAAGAGAGGTGTTGGCCCTGTGTTGGGTGGAGGTAGTATAGGTAGTACGCCAGTGGGGAGATTCTGATTCCTGCCCTGAGGAGCTGCTCCCATAGTACCTTAGTTAAGAGGAGGTCAGTTGGCTAAAATTCAGTGATTCTGGAAACTGGTTGAGTGTGACAAGTTACTTAACCACTCTGAGCCTTTGTTTCCTAATTAAAAATGTACTGATAACTGCCTCTATGCAGGTTATTTGTGATTCTGTGTCCAAACCACCAGGCCTAGTGCCTCCCCGGCAATAGACTAATTATTCTCTGTTTACATCCAACATATTTATAGAACATGTTCTTTCTGAATTAAATGATCTTATACACATACTAGACCATTATGTTTTGATTTTTAACCCTCTTCTCCAAAGTGCATATCCAGTGTGTATTTTATAATTAGAAAACTAAAGTAGTAAAGTTCTCAAAAGTTTTCGTTACATTGTAGGTAATGGTAACAGCTAGAGGAACACTTCTAGATTGATCTGCAGAATATGGGGGAAAGTTAATTACTGGAAAGAGGTTAAATAAAATCAGCTCAATAAGAACTGAGGTCTAAGTGAGATTTTAGGTAGACATACCAGATACCAAATAGTAAATATTGGGACAGTAAAACAACAAGAGTAATTGCCATCTTCTTCTAAGGTGGTAGCTCATTAGACTTGGTATCTTCTTTGGAAAAAAGTAGTTTTTATTTTAGATTTTTAAACATGTCATAAAATCTTCATATTATTGAGTGATGTTAAGTCTTTCATAAAAATGGTTTTGCATTATTCCTTTAAAAAAAAAACTTCAGTTTTGGATTTATAGACTGACTATTCCATTAGTCGAGATAAGAAAATACCAACTTCTATATTTTGTGTTTTTTGTTTTTTGAGAGGGATAGTGATATATTATTTCTCTTTGACCTGTTTTTTCTTATTTAAAATTTTAATAGCTCTAATCTTTTTGTCCTTATGATAGAATCCCTGAATCAATTTCTATTTTAAAATATTAAAAAGAACTTTAGTATTATTGAGTCTTTAAACTTTCTTTTTTGTATCTGCTAGTGGTACAGCAGAATCATCTGTTATGTACTAATTTTGAGAGCAACCCTATTATTCAGACTTGTTTATTGCCTTAAAATTTAATTTTTCCTAAAAAAAGATAATGTGATTATCAAGTTACTTGACAATTGTATGAGTTATAAATTGTGGTGTTATCTGTTTTGCTTTCTTAATGCTATTCAGATTGAAAAAACAAAGATTGCCTCATACAAAAAAGTATGAAACTTTTAGACTAAAAATATTTGGAATTTTTTTCCTAGAGAGTGAATAAAAGATAATAAGTTTATGCTTGTTTACTAAGCTACTCCTAATGTTGAAAAAGAAATGAAATAGTCCCTAATTACCCTATCTATCAGTTTAATTAGAAATGTGTTAATGTTCTGTAAAGAAAAATTTGTGATTTTATGCCTAGGTGATCAAAAATGTATGACCTTATAAATATAATACTCATGTAAAACACACATCCAGCCTCTTTCTCTGACTGGTACTAGAACCTAGCCAAATGATTAATTCATGAGTACTTTCTGTTATGATCCGTATTATCTACCATTTGCCGTTTTCTCTTTTCTTGTTGGTGTTTTTTGTTGTAGGTACCAGCAGACAGGTGTTAGGTGGCTGTGGGAATTGCACTGCCAGCAGGCAGGAGGAATTCTGGGAGATGAAATGGGATTGGGCAAGACCATCCAGATAATTGCCTTCTTGGCAGGTCTGAGCTACAGCAAGATCAGGACTCGTGGTTCAAATTACAGGCAAGTGCTCCTCTGCAGACTGTCAGTCTGTGGAGCTCAATTAATATTTCATCAGATGTATTGCTGTGGAGGAGGGTCTTGTGAATTATTGATGACATTTCAATTACAATATTCCTTTAATTCTTTTAGTGGGGGACATCAAAGGAAAAATTTTACGAGACAATGGAGCTGTAGGGCAGGAGAAATTAAACATGTAACACTTTTAATGAATTCCAGGCATTGATGCTTCATTTTGCAGATGAGCCCCACTAGATATTTTGGGTCAATACAATGTCTAAGGTTAGCTCCTGCAAATGGATTGTTTACAAACTCAATTATGTTAATATCAATAGTTTACACAATATGGAATTTTAAATTAGGCATAATACCTTTAGTTCCATTTATTAAATTTTACATTAAAATATTTGTTCTGGCAGAAGACCAGGTGAGCATTACAGTAAGCACAAAGTCTATTCATGGGGAAAGTTGGAGCTTTGAAGAAGCCATTCTCCCTAATTTCCTTTATAGTCAGTGCTTGTGATAGCATTTATAGAAAGCACTATTTTTCTTTTTGAATGAAGTTACTTGTCTACTCACTGTGCTCCCCTTGTGGCTCCCCTCCCAGTCTTTACGATTTCATATACATTCTAAGGCCAAGGCCAAAAAGACTGTGTAGATTTTAATTTTTATTGTCCTTAAAAATGTGAATAAACTTTAGTATTCTAAAATAATATGTATTTTATTGTTCAGTATGGTAGGACTGAAATACCTGATCTTGAAGTAAAGGACTTGAGTACATTTCCATATTTAAGTTGTAAATTGGCTTTATGGAAGTCTGTATTAGTAAAAATATTTCAGGTAAGTTATATAGGATGTTTAATCTTGAACCCAGATAATCCAAGAGCTCCTATGTTTTGGTAGACTTATCTAATGAGTGAGAGATGGTTGTGACCTAGGAATCTCAGGTATTCCCAACATATGATTTGGAAATGCCTTTAAAACAGTGTCTGTGTGTCTGAAATCAGCAATTGCAGAAAGTTACTGTCCTTCACTTCAGTGTGTCAGCAGAGAAATGTTTAGAGAGTCAAATACTGACTGTGAGCTATTGAGTAAAAACTGTTATTTTTAGTCTTCAGAGTTTGGCATTTTGCTTTTATTTCTTGTTCTTTCATTCAGTTAGCAGATCAGTATTTCTTTTGAGGAATGTTTGAAGTTTAAAAAAAAATTGGAAGTTCCCATTGTATTTTTATGGATGCAAGAGGAGGGAAAACATTTAGAGAGTTTTAAATGCTAAATATTTTGTCAATGTCATTTTAAGGAAGTTGTATTGAAGCAGAGGATTTTCTCAAATGTTAGAATTCTGTTATGTTTTGTCTGGAAATATGTAAAAAACATTTCAACCCAAGGGAAAAGTCAAAGTTGAATATGGGCATATAGGGTTTTCTTATTTATGACTGTGATTAGTTTGGCATTTAAAAAATGATTTTGTTTAAATAAGCCCCCCACATTTTTTTTGGTGGTGCTGGGAGTTGAACCCAGGGCCTTGTTCATGTAAGGCAAGCATTCTACCAACTGAGCTATGTCCCCAGCCCACAAATAAGTTCTTTGATTGTCCTCTCTGTTGGTTTTTTTGTTTTGTTTCTGTTGTTTAGGTAACTAGAATGTCTCAAGTTGCCCCAGATGGTTTGTAGGATTGTCTTTCCTTAAATGATTTTTGGGATTTTCTAATTTCCCACCTCTTTTCCTTCCCTTCCTTTCCTGTTATGAAATTTGTATGGAGTCTAATACTCTGGGCCTAGGAATCCTAAAGTTATCCCTGCAGTGTAGTTTTAATCTAAAAATTAAAACATGTTCTCTTGAGTGGTGACAATTCTACTAGGAGTGGAAGTCAGGACTAATAATGAGCATCATCTGTAATCAATTAACTATCAATGCCCATAACCTCTTCTTCATAATGAAATAGTGCAGCATATTGGACTAGTGCCCAGATCATCTTTATTAAAATAGTATTGGTGGAAGTGGCTTCTGAGAATGCTGTAATATATCAGCCAAACAACTAGGGTCTTTACATATAGAGGTGTACTGAGGAGCTTGGTTCCCCTCCACTTCACATGCCCAGGCAAATTGGTTAACATTTTTAAAACATTTCCTCTCCTGAAACTAGGTGAACTTAAGAGTCCTCCTCTTTGCTTGTGTCCTAAAGAAAAATCATCAGCCCTTGAGGTCAAATGAAGTTATGCATGAGCTGGCATTGCTTCATTGGCTATGTACGTTTTTTTTCCTGAATTCTTGCAGCAGAAGATGTTGGGGGCCAAATTTGAGATGGTCTTAGTGTTGCAATTTTAAGGTTCATGAACACTGGAACATGAAAAGTTGTGTGATACCAAGAAACTTCATAGTAAAAGAAATTTGGTTTGTTGTTGGGTGTTTTTAAAATGTGTATTGTATGCCTGTTTGTTTTTAGAAGAGGGAGAAACATATTACATGTGGTTAATAAAAATCTAAACCAGTTGTTTTATTTCTGGTTTATAATGGATATACTGTATTCTTTTCACCTTGCCATTTTTATTATAATGAGGGGCCCCTGAATGTTATGATGGAGAGGAAATAAAATTATTTACCTTTCAAACTTAAGTTAGTACTTTAATGTCTTGGTTATCATTTAGTTAATTTCTAATTAAGAATGAACACCCAAAAAAGTTATTAAACTTTTTATTGTACTTTGTAATTCCTGGCTATGACTAGCAGGTTTCCAACCTTATGATTTAAATATTTGACCATGAAGCTGTTGACTACCAAATTCATTAGGTAATCAATGATGATTAAAGATAAAAGGAACTGGAGTCTGTTTGGTAATTGATGCTAATCACTCTAGTACTTTTAGCCATTTCTTAGGCTCATCTCATTGATATTGAGGTTGGAAAGGGTGGTTCAGTTGTTGTGATTGTTAATGGGTTTGATTGCCCATTCTCTGGTCCAGGAACAATCTGCCTCAGCTCTGAGATTTCAACTCAGTGTGAAAATTTCCCTATTTTAATGAGGGCCGTGGGAAGAATGGCAGAAATTAAAGGGTATAATAATGTCAGATAGATGTAAAGCTGAAGAAAATAGTTGCCTTAAATGAAAAAGTGTGAGTCATCATTGTAGCAGTTTGCAGAAGGTGTGTTATAAAGAGAAGGAAAAAAAATGGTTTACAACCTAAAAAGCCATATGTATGAATTCATGCTTATTTGAATGTGAGCTTGTTTTTAAATATTTTAAACAGCCTTTGATTGGTTGTTCCCTAATCCCTGCTAAGTGCATATTGATGATAATTCTCTTTTATGACCCTTGGAGGATATAAAGAAGCTTGTGCTCTTAATCCTTTTAAAAAGGAATGCCGTTTTGGAAGGGGCCAGGGGCCAGGGCAGAGTCCCATTCTCCCCAGGGAGCTTGAGGGGCATCTGTCAGGGCCCTGCCATTGGTGAAGATCTCAGCTTGGATAGTCTGAGGACATTCTCTAGGAAATGTTGAGTCTATTGTGACCTCTGGCTTCTTCTGCTCTGACTCTGAGAGCCAGGGGCAGTAACCATGCATAGCAGGAGGTGGGAGTATTCATAAGCAGACAGAGGCATTTTGTCATGTTGGAGTATAGGGTAAGCCTCCTTAAAGTTAGGGCTTGGCCCAAAATCTCATTTTTCTGTTAGAACCACCAGTTTTCATTTGCGTAGAAGATGATGTTGAATATTTTAAGCACCGTGTGGTTTACTCTATTTATAAAAAAAAATTTCCGTTCAGGAGTCAAAAAATCAATCATGATCCCCCAACTTGGAAGTAATCTCTGAATACTTTGACCATATTTTCTTCCAGTATTTAAAAAGTGTTTTCATGTAATAATGCCAATTTGAGATCATTTGAAGAAGAGGTTATCCATAGTCTCAAGAAGCTCAGGAGGAGTAACACTATTATGAAAGGATCACAGTGGGGTCCTAACTAGCATAGGTGCTCTAAGGAAGGGTCCTCAACATGTCTGGAGAGAACGAGACAGGGAAGTCTCTATGGAGGAAACTGAGGTCTTGAGATGAGTAGAAGGTAGCTGGGAGGAAGTGGAGGGTAAAAAGCAAGTGAGAGTTGAAAGGTCAGCAGAATGCACTTTGTAGGAACTGAGGACAGTTCAGGCTGGCAAGGTGCTGGCCATGTGGGCAGGTATTAGGGTGATGACAGTGAGAGAGGTGAGGCTGTAAGGGTGAGCAGAGATGAGATTCTCATGGTCTTACAGGCTAGACCAACGTGTGTACTCTGTCCCACAAGCTGTGGCAGCTATTGGAGGCTTTGAACTGGGGGTATGAGACATTCAGATTTTGCTCTGAGAAAGGATCGTGTTGGAAGGTGCCATAACTCAGATGAAAGATGATGGTAGCTAGAACTGTGACAATATATAGAACTATGACAGTATGGAGTGAGGGACATGAGAACTTGGAGAGGAATTTAGGAGGTGGAAATATTGGGAGTTTGGTTGCTTCTGCTGGAGTACAAAAAGGCTGATTAAAGGATAAGGCCTGGTCTTCAGAATGGGCCCTGGAGAATGGTGGATGTTCTCTGTCCACTGGACAGGGAAACTGGGGTGAAGGAGGCTTTTGATGTATGCTGCAGTGGGGACATCCGCATCAGCAGTTAGATATCTAGTGCAGGATAGTTTAGAATTAAGGAAAGAAATCTGGCTGGAGACCCAGTCTTGGCATCCTGGGTGCACAGATAGAATTGAAGCTGTGGGGATTAGGGATATCTCAGAGGAAATTACTGTGGAGTAATTCAAGTGCATTTTGCTTCACACAGGCAGAAAGAGGGAGGGGAGGGATAGGGCAGTTTAAAATGTGACTGTTTCAGAGGAGAGGGAGTCAAGCCAGGTGGCATCCAGGGCCTGGGGCCTTGATCAGCCTCTTGGAGCTTGAGCTGAGTGTGACCCTGGTGTGCATGAAATTGATGTGGTTGGTTTTAACTTGTACTTCAAGCATTAACTAGTACTTGGCCACCTGTTATTGGGCTGTACATGTAGCAGGATAAACTGAGAAAGAAAAGTCTCCCCCAAGCTGGAGTTTATGTAAGTCCTTCCTCCCTAAATTGGACAGTCATACTAGGCCAGTTCTGTGGACCTGTGAGAGTTGCTGAGATGTGCTGTGCATTGAATGGCTTTAGAGGAACAGAATTCCAGCTTCATAGAGAACATGTCTGTGGGAGGTGTGTTTGTGTATGTGGGGGGATTGGCATTTACCCAAACTGTAGTTCTGCTAGGAAGGAGAGAGAAGAGGAGGACATTGACATAGTGGCCACCACCAGTTTCCTGGCTACCTGTATGTCAAAAAATTGGGGTGAGGGGCTGGGGATGTGGCTCAAGCGGTAGCGCGCTCGCCTGGCATGCGTGCGGCCCGGGTTCGATCCTCAGCACCACATACCAACAAAGATGTTGTGTCTGCCGAGAACTAAAAAAAAATAAAAATAAATATTAAAAAAATTCTCTCTCTCTCTCTCTCTCTCTCTCTCTCACTCTCTCTCTTCTCTCTCTCTCCCCCCTCCTCTCTCTCTCTCTCTCTTTAAAAAAAAAAATTGGGGTGATTCCATAAATGATTTTGTTTTATAAGAATTTATTATGAACATTTTCCAGGTTATTAAACATTCTTCAAAAACTATTTTAATGGTTATATGATATTCTGTCTTAACAAACTCTTATAGTTTACTGTTTGACCCTGTTCTAAGCACACTACACATGTTAACTGATTTAATCTTCTTAGTAACCAATGATCAGTACTGTCATTGGTCCCATCTGAAGGTAAGTGAGGTTCAGAGAGGTTAATTAATGTGCCCAAGATGACAACTTAGTGCAAGTAGAGCGAGGTTCAGACCTAGGCAGCGTTCCTAACTACTAACCTGTGCTGTGCAAAAGACATGAGATAGTTCATTCAACACTTTCTTTTTGAACTTTTAGGTTGCCTCTGCTTTTTCTGTAATATAAATAACACTAAAGTGTATGTTCTTGTACTAAATATTTGTATTGGGATTGCTGGGCCCCTGGGTGACTGCTCATAAGGCTCTTGCTTGTCGTGTGGTGCTCAGCTGCTTTCCAGACAGTGTTTTCAGTGTACAGTCTACCATATAGCCTTTCCTGGGGAGAACAGTCACTAGCTGCTTCTCCAGGTGTTGCCATATGGAGAAGCAGGCAGCATGGTGGACTGAGAGCAAGCCATAGCAAGTAATAGACTCACTTCAAAGCAGTTCTCCATTTCCTGGTATTGATGTTGCTCTGGGCACACCAGCCTTCCAAGCCACTAGTTCTGTCCTGCTTGTCCCAGGTTGGTGAAGATATATTGAAATTCTGTGGGCTAAAAATTTTGGTAGATGTAAAGCTCCAAATTTAAGATGCTATTGTGTTCACTTATATAATTTCACTAATGTGGAATAGAAAGGAAGAGAAAAGTATTTTTGTTATATTATTCAGCTTTCCTTTACTATAGATGTTAACTTTTAATATTATTTGGTGTTTTCTCTTAATTCCTGCATCCACTGATGATTGTTGGACTCAGATTTTACTTACTGAGTTATAACCTCACTGAGTTTTTAATATCAAGAAACTTCCACAGCTTGCATTTTCTTTTTTGTACTGTTAAGGGTTTTTGTCTTTAGCAGTTGATCACTCTATGTGCAGGCTTTCATGGTTGTGTTTTCTTCTTGGACATTTGGGTGCAGGTTCGAGGGGTTGGGTCCCACTATACTTGTCTGTCCAACCACAGTGATGCATCAGTGGGTCAAAGAATTCCACACATGGTGGCCTCCATTCAGAGTGGCAGTTCTACATGAAACTGGCTCCTACTCCCACAAAAAGGTAATGCTATAATACTTTAGTACTTTTTTGTTTTGTTTTAAAGCCCTCCATTACATATTTGGTTTTTCTTTGAACCATGTATTTCTCAAATATATATTCCTGTATCTTTCAAGCATTTAAAATTATTTTATAATTACTGACAATGCAAAACTCAGTGATTATGAATATGTACTTATTGTTCTAACGTCTGTAGTGGTGCCGGGATATGTCCAGCAAAACACAAATCAGCACAAACTAGTACCATAAGCCTGATAGTATGTGCAGGATCATAACAGGTGGCTTAAATGATGGCTCACTGGAGAGATTTTGGGCATTATCAGCTTTAAACAGTTTTAGGAAAGTGAATACAGGTTGAACATTCCTAATCCAATATCTAAGATGCTTCAAAATGTGGAGCTTTTGAGCACCAATATAACACCAAAACTGGAAAATTCACACCTGACTTCATGTGACAGGATGCAGTCAAAATGTAGGTGGACTAAAAATATTGAATAAAATTACATCAGACTATATGTATAAGGTGTATATGAAACAAATTAATTTTGTCTTTAGACTTGAGTCTCAACCCCCAAATATCTCATGTATATGCAGACATTCTCAAATCTGAAAAATTTCTAAATCTGAAATAAGCATTTTGGATAAGGGATATTTGACCTTAATTGGTAAATCTATTTCTTAATGTGCTTATTTTTAATATACTTTTTTTAGTTGTAGTTGGACACAATATCTTTATTTTATTTATTAATTTTTGTGGTGCTGAGGATTGAACCCAGAGCCTCACATGTGCCAGGTGAGCTCTCTACCACTGAACCACAACCCCAGCTCCTGTTAATGTGCTTTTAAAACATGTTTTTGATGAATAAAAGCAGCTTGACAATTTGCGATTTTTACAAGTATTCTTTTTTAGTTTGTTACTTTTTGTTTCCTGAATCCTGTATCATCATGTATTAAGAGTTGTATTTCCTCCCTTATTTGTAGTTCTGTTACTAGCTGCATTATCAAAAAGGAGGTTTATCTCTGCTCCTATGGCTAGCATTATAGAAACATTGTGCTATGCTTTTTTTCCCTTCCTTCTCACTATCTAAACTGTGAACTCAATAGATAACACTGTGTCTCATTTTGTATTCCAGTTGCCCTATAAGCATTTGCTGAATAAATAATAATCAGTTTCACTGTTGGTTTTGCCAGTTACGTTACTGATAAGAAGTGGGAGTTTTTTGTTTTTTTGTTTTTTTTTTTTTAATGAATTCTGCCTTTCCTGAATCTTCTGAACTCTTCTGAAGTGAGCTCTCCTTCACCCTAGGAAAGCAGTGCCCAGCTGTAAGGGCCGTGGACTTTTGGCTCACTGACTGACAAACTCCAGTGGCTCCCTAATTTTTCCCATTTCCCTTTAAATTCTTATATGTTCACAATCATACATGAGCAGAACTTTTGATAGAAATTAATCAAGAATATCTGATTTGGTAACTGAATAAGGTGAGGTGGAATCTTGTTTATACTAGCTGTGACTGTTAAATCAACAGATTTTGACCATAATTTAAAAGATAATGGAAAACAGAGTTAAGATAATTAATGACGGTGAGTAAATGCTGTGTTTTAAAAGAAAGTGAAAATACTAAGTTTAAGTTGTTTGCTAGCCAGACTTTCACTTGTTACAACTGTCCTGTTATCACCCATTCAAAACTTTATGATTCTTGTTTTCATTTCCATTATCTGTTGACATCCTTAATGTTTTGTGCTATAAAATTCTGTAGCAGGATTCATTAGTAAATCTTTGTCTTATAAAGGCAAAATTTTTCATATGTTTCTTCTTTATCCTTTTATTTTCTTTTGGGTTAGCAAAGTACATGTACTTCAAACTTTCACCTGGATTGTGCTTACCTACAGTCCGTCTATAATTATAACCTGAAAAACTACCTTCCTGTAAACCACCTACATTGACTCATTAATGGAAAGAGAATTGACATTGAACTTGCTGTTTTGACAGCAAGTTGACATTGAACTTTGCTGGGAAAACTTGATTCCTTAACTCTGATAGAGGGCAAAATCTTAAAGCCTAGATATTTTACTTTGGGTTAGAATAGTTCCACCTTCTGAGGTGGATTTACACCCAGAGACAAATGCATGGTGGTTTCTCTTTTTGTCAGTGCTTTCCAGTTTACAAGGACTTTAGCTTGAAATTTTTTACTTTTGAGGAAATGCAGTATTACAGTTACTGTATCTTTCTACTCTTAATTTCCTACTGTTCCTTTCCTATTATAAAGTACCTAAGATTTCTGAAGATTAAGCTGCTATGCAAAGATTGAAAAGATATACCTTTTATCTTTCAGACTGTATTCTTTACTTAAAAACATAGTTTGTTATTTATTATTAATGTCAATATCAGTGTATTATTTGTGGTAGTGTCACATTGAGAATGTGTTAATTGTTCCTTTGCATAGGCCTGGGTAGGGTCATTTCCAAGATTGTGACTTTGCTTTTTGAATTCAAGTACTAAAATGATAGTTGATTCTTCTGCTCCTTCCTTTCCTATCTGTGTGTGCATATCTTGGTCACTACTTCATGCACACCTGGTAGCTTACAAACATGTGTTAGACTACAATAAAGTCTGTGTCTCTCTTTCACATTTCAAATATTCTGTCAATGCTGGTCTGTCCCCTAAGCCAGCATTTAATGCCTGACTTCCTTTCCTTCCTTATCAGCTGAGATGTCTTTTTCTCATGGTTGAGGGTTATATACCCACTGGCTCTCCTGTCTGAATTCAGTAGTGACACTTTGGCATAGGGACATGCGATACTGTACTAAAAAGGGGAAAGGAAAGAATTTCTCTTTAGAAATATTTGAAACAGTAATAATGACAGTTGTTTTCCTTATAATTCAAAAGGAGCATCATTATTTTCCTAATACCTATTTGTAGCTGGTATAACATAAAAATTTGAAGATTTTTTCTTTTGGAAAACAGATGATTGAACAATTTCTAAATAGTGAACATCTGTCATTCTTCTTCCCTAATTTTTTTTTTAGCTTCTCATTACTCTTACCACTTAATCCTATATTATCTTTGTTAAAAGTCTCTTTGATTGGCAGCATGATTTAGCATTGTCAAGTGCAAAAAAAAAAAAAAAGAATTGTCACGTGCACACCCAATAACTATATTAAAAACATGCATCTATCAGTTTGAACCAAATGGTCATGTCTGATAAGGAAGATTTCAGACTTCTGAGTCTCCTTTGATGGTCACTTGAAATCTCATTGAATAGGAATCTAGGATTTTCCCATCATGATTTGTGATCTCTTTTTTTCTAGCACAGAAAAAATTTGTGTGAGTTGATTAATATTTATTTGTTGAACAAGTATAAATGCCACATTCCAGGTGTTTTGATATTGTTAGGGCTCTAAAAATGAATATGATAACTAACCTTGAAAATCCAACTGTTTTGTTGGGGAAAGAAAAGAGGATATATGAAAAGATAATGAAAGAAGGCAGTCTTGTGAGACTTAGCACATAACTCCCAGTGGGTGGTGGCATCGTTAGCACTATGTTGTAAAGCATATTTAATGATTAAGAATTTTTTTAGATTTGTTGGAATATGGATAATGAGAAATTGTTTATATCCTGAAATGATTATCTTTTTATCTTTCCTACCTTTTTCTACTGTGTAGGATCCAGTAATTCTGTGGACTGTTTTAGATTATTCAGAGAGTTTTGCCTTGTTTTGATCAGTTTGTGCTATTTACAGTCATAGGAGTGGGAAAAACAACAATGGCATAGTTTTAATTGCATAGGTTTGGTAGTTATTGCACCTGGGTTTGAATCTTGGATCTTCCATTTTATGCCATTGTGACCTCAAGCAAGTCACTTAGCTTCTCTGAGCCTAGTTTGATGTCCTATAAAATGAGAATTTTTTTAGTAGATTAGTGAGGATTTCTTGGATTAACATGTATGCATTAAAAAGCTCAGTGTGGTCCTTGATATATAAAGTTACTTAAGTATTTGTTGTTCTTGTCAGAAAGCACAGCCCAGGCCTATTCATTTCAGCGGTTGAGGAAAAATTCTGAAAGATGCATTGCTGATTGATGTGATAGGTATTCTAGATAGAAAGTTCATTAACTGCTTTATCAGAAAGGTTTATGGTCATTCAGCTTCTAGATCTGCTTTTTTCACATCCAGATACATTTGATCCCAAATAGAGTGTTGAATTTTTGGGAGGGAAGTACAAAATTGGGAAGTGATTAAAAAGCAAACCTCACAAAAAATTTGCCATCTGATGAAACTGCCATCATGGATTTTTTAAAAACTCCCCTTTCCTGAGATACTAGAGCAAAAAAATAATAATAAATTGGCTTTTTAAAAAGCTGAAGGCAGGGGTCAGGAAAAAAATCTTAACAAGTAAAAATGAAAAGGGAACCACCAGGTCTCTCAAGCATCCTAAATATTTTAGACCCATTCCATGTACACAATTATAACACAAAGTGATATAATTCCTATTAACTTCAGAGTCAGTATATACACCTGATATAAGAAATGATAGATGCTAGGCTTGTTCCATAAGTTTTATTGTAAAATTATGTTGCTGGGGTCCTTTTTTCTTCATTGTCAGCACAAATCCTTGTTTATTAAAGATTTAGCTTGAAGGAAATTTTAATTAATTACAGGTGCAGTAAATCCTGCCTGGGAAGCTGCCGTTCTGTGTTTACCGTGAATGGCCTTCATGTGCCTGTGCTTCACTCGCTCTCCCCGCTGCCTGACAGTGTGATTTATGGCTGTTGTTTTCTACCAGTCCACTGTTTGCCCTCTAGGAGGGATTGGTCTCCTGAGCCTCCATAATAACAGCAGCATTTCCACAGACATCTTTTAATGACAACAGCACTGCATTCAGTAAGTCAGGCTAATTGCAGATGTACCCTATTAATTGCAAAAACTAGGAGAGGTTACATATTTTACAAGCTTTTAATTTGAAACCGCCCGAGATGATTTGTCTTAAGTGTTTGGATAGAGACGTCCATAATATTCAACAATTCACCATTATTGAAACTCCAGTCGAGGCAGTTATAGAATTCTGAGATTGAATCAGGTGAAAACAAATAGTGTGAGCTGTAAGTGGCTAAGTGGAGATTATTTTTGCAATGAAGACATTTTGCACAACTTATTCTTTTTTTATAAAAGCATCTTCTTAATTCTTGTTAATTGTGCATCTCTTTGAACACAGTAAGAATTCTGTATTTCTGTAGCCAGCATTACAGAATATTCCAAATAAACTTTGATTCTTAAATAAGCAAAAGAAACTACTCATTGCTCCATTAGTGTACATTTGAAGCTTGGCATCCCATTTATTTAACTAGGGTAAAGCTCCCAGCTACACAGAGTGGTGTCCAGAACTCACTCTGGGATTGTATTTCTTGAATGTTAATGGGATGGCCATGGCTGGTCTGTGCATCCAACAAGAGTTCCAGGAGCCATGAGCAAGTAGACCCATATTTTCAGGTTTGGCTATACACAGTGGACATTTTACAAATATGAGTGGTAATTTAACTTCCACTTTCTTTCAAGCCCCAGATAGCCAAAGTTGTTTCCTCTCACTATCTGAGTGCACATGGCTTGTTTCTAGAGTGGACTTGGGCATAGTCCCATGGCTCAGTTTGCTATTGCCTTACCTCACTTGCTGGCATGGCTTCTGGCAGCCCCTGCTTTCCTGGAGGGGAAGATAGTGATAGACTCAGAGGGGAGCTGCCTGCCTACAATCTCAGTAAAAAAATTAGATGTGGAAGAACTATAGAAATTAGCTGGCTTCTCAAAGTTATGGAACTGGCCAGTTGAGGTACTAGCCTGTTTCTCTGGTCAACATTTTTCTACACTGGGCATTGACAGCCAAGGCAGTGTCAGTGTAGTCCAGTGAGTGGGATGAAGGTGAGTCCTGGGCAAGCTTGTACATGTTTGCAAGGCTGTTCACCTGAGACATTTACTGCTTCATTTTCCTAAGATAAAAATCAGAAAATGGTTAAAACAGGTGTGGCCTTCATTATAGTACTATACAGAGGTTGAAGTTTGTGGATGGGATGATGGAAAAGAGTGCTTATAATAATACAGTTCTTACTTGTCGAACCTTTTTAAAGGTCCCAGGTATTGTTTTGAATCTCCAAAGCAATTTATTAACTATTTAAATGTGGAGTGTGTTATGACACATGAGAAGATAATTCTTCTCTGTTTTATTTCTTCAAAATTTGTTGTGCTCTTTGCACTCTTTTATGCTCTGTTGAATTAAAAAGCATTTTAATCCTAGTTCTTGAAGATGATATTAGTAAAATTACCATTTTTTAAAATATTTTGAATTCTATATAGTTTGTATGAAATGATTTTAATTGCTTGATGATATTAGACTTTCCGGTATTTAGCTATTCTGATATTCCTTATGATAAGCCTTATTAGATTAATGTATTGCTGGGCTTTAAAGTAATAAATTTTTGATTTGGAGATATGGACACATCTGTCAGTTTTGGAGATTGAGTTTTGCTAGCCTTGTAATAAGGATTTGAAATGCATTCTTTTTCTGTATTTGGGAACAGTTCTATAGCTAGTTCTATTCCTGTGTCACTTATAGAAGAACATACATCTTTTTCAAGTTCTTCAGTATTATTCTGCTCAGTTGGTCTAATTTTTCTTGAGTCCATTTTCATTAGGGTAATTTTTTTTGTAACTATTGTCTTATGTCAAAATGTTCAGATTTTTTTGGCATGTGGTATTGGTTAACACTTTTGTATTCTCTACATTGATCAACTGTTTCTTTAACATTTCTAAAGCTGTACAATGAGAATGAGTCTGTTCTTCTGGCTGAGTTTTCAGAAATTGGTTTGGTCTTTTCAAAGAATTTTTTTTTTTTCTCCTCATCAGTTCTGCCAGGTTTTTTTCCTATAAGATTCTTTTTTTTTCCTTTTTTTATTCTGTCTTTTCTCTTTTTAGTTTATTGGGTTGATTATATTGATCTCGGCTTTTAAAATTTTTTTATTTTTTCAGATTTTAACCTTTCTGAGTAGCATATTTGTAAAGAATGGGTATATTTTATTTCTTTTTTTTTTTTTTTTTTGGAGGCAAAGAGTAGGAACTATGGAATGAAATTGACCAAATTATGCTATGTGCATATATGAATATATCACAATGAATCAACTCACTTTTATGTATAATTATAGGGCGCCAGTTAAAAGTAAATAAATAAATAGATGGAAGACCAGTAGAGGAAGGGGGAGGGATGAGTGAAGAGAAAGGGGAAATGTTGAAGGGGAGACCAGGTATTCTTTGTGCAGGTTAAGGCTCTGTTGATAGCTATGAAGGGAGCTTCTTGGTGGCACTGAAAGCCTTTGTGTACCAATTTTTAAAACTGTTTCCTTTAAACATCCCTTTCTCAGAAGCTGTGGTCAGGCCTCAGGACAGGTTGTGGTTCTCAGGGCTTTGCTTTTGTGTTTGTTGCTGTGTTTTTGACAGGTAAAGGTGAATGCTGCTTCTTAGTATTTTACTCCCTTTAAAATTTAAAACATCCCTCTTGTTTCTGTTCACTTGTTTATCTCATGTTCATTTTGCTAAAACTACCCTTTTTTGTTTGCAGTTCTTAGTGAATCTTTGATTAATTCTGTTTCAGCTGTCATTGTGGGCCTGGTTTGGGTCTCCTTTAAACTCAAGGCTAGAGTTTTGCCTTACTCCAGGGAAAGTCTTGCTGTTAATAATCAGCCATCATGGTGACCTCTGATGTATCTTTAATCTGCAACTTACTATGTGTTTATTACATTTTCTGGGGGTTTTTTTTTTTGCTATTTTTAATACTTTTCCCCCTATAGTAGTCTAATAGTTTTATATCCTTTATCTTTTCTAGTGTTTATATAGAGTCAGCAACCATTAATCAGTAATAGGCTTAAATTTTTGACAAGTGTAGTTTAACATATTTTCCTCTCACAGTTAAGACTTAGTACAGTATCTATTCTGTGTTTCATTTTGCCTGTGGATAGGGTGTGGTTTATAATCCACTTTTATTTTACACCAATTTTACTCCAAGTTATATTAAGCTAAGCAGGAATTATAGTATAATTTAAAATATATTTTATATTTTAGATAATTTGTTAACAGTTTCATTTATATTTGAAAGTGTTTAATATTTAGACTATTATGTTCTAATAATTTATTTTAAGATACATAAGTATGTATATTACATTTCCCCATTTTAAATTTAAAAAAATTTATTGGTGCATTATTAGTATACATATTAGTGGAATTCTTTATTATGTAGTCATGCGTTTATTTTCCCTTTTAAAGTTTTTCTTTGTAGTATAGTAAGAGGTAGTACAGCCTAATACTTAATAGTTCCAGCTTTGGGATGGACGACCTTCTGCTTTGGAATTCTGACTTTACCACTCCCAACTTTGTGACGTGGTATATTGGTTACTAAACCCAAGCCACAGTTTCTGCATATATAAAGTGGGGTTAGTGGTAGTTGCTCTGTCCTCACTCAGCGGATTGCTAGGAGCATGCTGTCTGTCGAGAACATAAAGGGTAGAGAGTGTTGCTTTAGCTCTTCCCAGAGGGCAGCATCTGCCTGTCTGTGCACACCTCTCTGCTTCTGAATTCAGCACACTGTATCTAGCCAGCCTCTGGTTGGCCTATATTCTGAATCTTTGCCTATCTGAAGCTGGAATTTAAAAAATTTTTTCATCAAGCATAGCTGCTTATTGAATTGATGCAGAATTCCAGGATCTCCACTTCTCCCCTTCCCTGAGAACTACATAAAGATTTTTTTTCTTTGCTTTTTGACATATTTAGTGTTATAGAAAGAAATGCCCAGTGCAGGAGATCTTTCTTCTCTGAAAGGAATCTTCTTTTTCTCCGTTTTGTTTTGGTCAGAAGCCATGGCATTCTCTTTCTTTTATTTCTCTTTTAAGAATTCCGATATCCAGAAGGATATGCCTTTTCAGTGTTTCTACCTGACATTCTGGGATTTTTTTTTTCTTTAGACTTACATCTCTCCTCAGTGTATTAAGTTTTTTCCTGTTTATATCCTTTTCACTCTAGTCTCCTGGAATTCATGTTATATATTGTTAGAAGTTCTAAATTTGACTTCCTTATCCCCATGAAGTTTCTTTCATTTTCTTTCTTTATTTTAAAACAATTGATCATTTTCCATTCATCTTGTTATTTTGAGTTTAACAAGGGTGGAGACAAAGAATAATGAAAATTGAAGGCTTAACATTATAACTTACTCTTTCTTTTTGAGAGCTCCCCATTCCCTACCACCAATAGCTTTATTAGTCAGTGTTTACTACCTTACAGATTAAACAAATATAAAATACACTTTTACTGCTGAAAAGGTATTATTTAGGATATGTGTATTATGTTTATACATTTTTATAAAGTGTCCTAAATTGTGTCTTGATTGAAAGGGTGTCACTTTAAGTCATGTTCACTGTATTTTACTTTCTTTTTAAAATGGGCCTTCCTATTTTATTATGATTTTAGGAGAAACTAATTCGCGATATTGCTCATTGTCATGGAATTTTGATAACTTCTTACTCCTACATTCGTCTGATGCAAGATGATATTAGCAAGCATGACTGGCACTATGTGATCTTGGATGAAGGACACAAAATTCGAAATCCAAATGCTGCTGTCACACTTGCTTGCAAGCAGGTATGACCTCTCATAACAAGGAGTTTATAGGTTGGCAATAGTATTTAATTTAGAATAGGCTTTCTGCTTTTAATAACGCATTAATTAATTCCTTATGCTTAAGAAATTAAAAATATACATTTTACCTAAATGTAGAAAATTCTATATGCTCACCCTTAATTGTTTTTTAAAACTCTGATTGTTCACATTACTTAGTGTCTCTTATAAGGATCAGTTGTTAGAATGTAACCAAATCTTACTCTAACCTGTATTATTCAGTTTGATATAAGAAAAAAATTTCCCCATTTTTCATCTATATGTAATTAAAGAATTATAATTGCATAAAATGTTTTGAGGAGGACGAAAATGATATAAGAATTAAAATGAATAAAATGTATTAAATAATGGTATTACACGGGAGTGTTTTGAAGCAGTAATATCCATCATCTGTTAAAAGGCGAATTTATTAAGAAGGTGCTTTATTTCCCAAACTAGTTTCGCACACCTCATCGGATCATCTTGTCTGGCTCACCGATGCAGAATAACCTCCGGGAGCTCTGGTCCCTCTTTGACTTTGTCTTCCCGGGGAAGTTAGGCACATTGCCTGTGTTTATGGAGCAGTTCTCTGTCCCCATCACCATGGGGGGATATTCCAATGCTTCTCCAGTACAGGTAATGTAGTAGACAGGTGATAACTTTGACATTTTAGTATTAAAATGTTGTTACTAATATTGTATTTTGTATTTTGTAGCCAAGTCATTCAGAATGTAAGGGAAATGGACAGGCTTATAAATTGGTATCTGATAAAAATCAGATAATTATTTCTGCTTGATATACTTTTCCAGATAAACTTTTAAAAATCGTGTAAAATATTTACTTAGAGGAACTACCTAAAATTAAACTTTTCTTTGCAGAACAGAAATGAAAATTTGGGGTTGGTTGTTCCTGTTTTTTTTCTGTCAGATAAATTAAAAAATGATACTATGTGTGATCACAAGAACAGTGAGAAATCATGAAGTGAGAGCAAATCAATTCAACATATAATTTAGTGCAAATTGGGTAGTACATCTTATGAAGTAGTGAAAAGCTTTAGAAAGGGGATACCAGGACAGATCGGATTGGATTGTTAGGGGAAATGATATGTGTCCCTTAACTCAGTTCTGGGTAATCGGCCATGGAGAATGAGTGCCTTCTCGATGAGGCAGCAGCTAGAGTATAGCCACACTTCATGGCTAGAACAATGAAGAGACTTGCTTGGTTGGACTGGAGATGCTTGTTTGGTGGAAGGTAGTAGGAAGTTGTGGATGCTGGAACTGAGGCCCAGAAAAGGAGGCAGTGGTGCTCAGGGACAACAGGAAGGTGTCTGAGCAGGCTGCTGGAAGATGGTGGTTCTCAGGGATTGCTCAGCCTGCAGTAAGGTCATGAGGAGAGAGGCTGGAACTTTGGGGACTTTTGGTAGTAAGGACAGTGAGGACATGAACTTGACTGGTAGTCTGAGAAAGACAACGAGGAATAGAGAGACCCAGGTGGTGCATTTAGGTACTTCAGAGACTAATAGAATAAAGGAAATGGTGGTGGTAGGGACGGGGGTTTTTCACAGGCAGGAACCTTAGGAGCTAAAGCTAACCTGACGAAAATTTGTGTCCTTTGGGGGCAGGCTCCAGCCTTAAAGAGAGGCGGGGTTTCTGCACAGCCCTTCTCAGGTGGAGGGTGCAACTGTGGGGGCATGCCTGGGCCAGGAATAAAGTCTTCCATCAAAAGAGTTGCTCACATGTTTTGAAATATTTAACTAGAAAAAGAATTTTAGACCATTTTAATACCTTTACATCAGTACCTTTATGCCAAGGTCTCGGCTTGGCACCAGAATCACGAGCCACCACACAGCTTCGTAGGTTCAAACAGCAATTCTTTATTCCCGCTCTCACACCGCCTCCACACAGGTCCAGGGGCAATCACGTTCTGCCATCTCCCGCACAATTCACCTACTCCACGAGGCTATCTCCAAATCCCATTTTAATCTCACGAGAACTCAACAGGAACAAGCAGCAGGAACACCCTAATCCCAGCAATAATCTTCAATCTCCAACTTCCCTAAAACCCATTATCTTAAACTGGCAACACCTTACTCAAGGAACCGGTTACTTCCTCAAACCTGATCAGCTCTAAACCCGGATCTGCCTTGGTCCTTGAGCAAGGTCACCTTATTAAAGCATGCATGCAATGTTCCATCAAATGTCCTATAAGCAGCATGGGGTACGCTTGGCAAGGAAATTTCGATGCGTCATTCCTACTTGGTAATGGCCCTCAGCACCTTTATCTTTAATACCTTTACACTTTAAGATCGAATGGTTTTTTACTTAACTTTTGCAAGGGCTCTCTTCTTCCTCTCAACCCCTGCTATCCTTCAGTTAAACCATTTTTTTCCCTTTTAACTTGCCATTTTAAATCATTTCAAATTGAATGAAATGTGGCAAGAATTGTAAAAACAAACTCGCATGTTCCTTTCATCCAGATTTACTGATTATTAGCTTTTTCTAACATTTTACTGCATTTTCTTATCATCTTTCCATCCCCTCAAATAAATATCCACAGATTAATGCTATTTTTTTTTCTGAAACTTCTGAGTAAGTTGCAGTATAATGCCACTTTCTTTCAATCCTTCAGTGTGTTTCCTAAAAACAAGGGCAGTTGCTTACATAATTATAGGAGGCAATTTAGCATTGATACAATTCTGTTACCTAATCTATTGTCATTCACATTCTGCCAATTGTTCTCAAAGCTTCCATGTCTCTTTAGTCTCTCTCTGTTAATCTGGAAAAGTTTCTCTAATCTTTCTTTTGCCTTTCATGACCTGGACAGTTTTTAAAACTATAGACCTGTTATTTTTCTAGACTGTACCCAAGTTTGGGTTTCTTTTATGTTCCTTCATATTTGGATCAGATTATACATTTTTGGCAGAAATATTGCAGGAGTGATCTGTCTTTCTCAGTGCATTCTACTTGGCAGCACCAGCTGTTCGTTTGTCCCATCATTGGTGAATGCCTGGTAAAGTTTTGGCTTGATTTCTAAACTCTGAAGTTATGCTTTTGCTTTGGAATTAGTCTTTTGTGGAGAGGCATTTTGAGAACATGTAAATACAATCTTTCTTCCTTAAAGTCTTTGATTCAGGAGTTTGTGTAGTAGTTATCCTCCCCCACCCCTCATCATCTGCAAGGGTTGTGTTCTAAGGCATCTGGTGGATACCTGAAATCAAGAGTATCCAACTCTATGTCCTGTCTTTTGTGATATTCCATTTAATATTTTTGGACTACAGTTAACCTCTGGTTTTGAAACCATGCAAAGTAAAAGTGCAGATAAAAGAGGACTCCTTTTCCCTTTCTAGTGTTTTTAATTTGCTTCTTTTTGTGTTAGAATGGGGTTGCCATGTGCTATTGAGCCCTAAGAATAAAGATTGTTCGTTGGTAATTATTGTGTTAGGCTGTGGCTAACGTGACAAGAGGGCTCTGGAAGCCAGAAGCTTCTATGAATAGTATTTCTGATCCAGTGTGAGGCATACAAAAAGAAAATGGTAAATGAAAATCCCAGAACCGAATAATGAGGACTGTGACCAGGGGAGATATCCATTATCAGAGACTAGTGCTCAAGAAAGTCCTCCTGAAGAAGGAATGAGGAAGCCAGGACTAATAGGGCTGAGGAAGGTAAGGGAAGAACACCAGTAGCCCACAGGGTGGACTGCTCTCTTGGTAGGTGCACTCAGCTTTGGTATGGAACTTCAGAACTGCAAAGAACCTCAGGAGATGTCTCATTTTATAGTCCAGGTAACTGAGACTCCTTGTTTTGGTGACTTGTCTAAGAGGCAGAGCTGGGGGATTATAATCACCTCTCCATCTTGTCAGGAAGAAGATTGGTATGTGCAGTGAGGTATCCATTTTCCATAGTACTGGGGGCCTGGGAAAGTTAGAGAAATACAGTTAGATCACCCCCTTATTATTATTATTTTTTTAATAACAGGCAGCATGGGAACCAGGTGGGAATTAAATATAATATCACTGCCTCGGAGTTGGCCTGCAGGAAAGAGCGAAGCTGAGGGACTGGCCCCTCCCAGCCAGCTCTGTTTTAGTTTACTAGTATCTACAACCAGCAGGAGAGAGATGTGGGCAAAAGGAGGATGAGGGAAATCTCCTCAGCGTATTGAAACACTTGTTTCCTCCGTGAGACCATAATGTATTGTTAAATTCTGAAATTTAATCATCTCTGCATCACAAATCATGTACTTCATGATTATCTTAAACATAATTTTGATCAGCATCCAATGATACACTTGAGGTGCTGGAGATATATAAAACTAAAAGTTGTTGATTAGTTGAATTCTTTGTTAGTTTCTGTTATCCCAGGTAACACCTTTTTTGGGGGGTGGGGGTGCACACCCATTCACATGCTTACACACTGTACATGTATGGACATGGGCTTGAGTGAGATGTTCTTATGCTTTTTAAAAATGTTTTCTTTTTTTACATGTTAATATTTTTAACTTGAACTTTTCTTTGTGTATTATGGTCAAGCTCCTCACTATCATTGATTTTATAGCTAATTTTTTTTGCATTAAAACTTTGGACTTTTTTCTTGTTCTGTGAAATAGTAATTTACTTAGTTCTTAAGCCTGTTTTTTTAATTATTAATAATCTATTGAAGTCTTTGTTTGCTTTTAAGTAAATTGCAGAGGGAGGGGTTTCCTGGGCTATGGGTCTTTGTTTTTCTATGTACAGTTAATACCCCTCTCGTGTGACTGTGTCCATTACGGAGCCATATGTTCCATTTTAGGCTAGAGTGACCTTTCATTTCTGGGATCATAGGGCTCCTCTTGAACTTAGTCTCCTAAGTCTCCAGTGGGCAGTAATCTCTGCTTATTAGCTGGTGGCTTCCATTGCTGCAGCTTCCCCCACACTTAGCTTTTGATCTTCAGTCTTGCAGAGTAGCATTTCCTTTGTAGCTTTTGGAGAATACAAGATTATAAACAGTCTTGTTTGAAAGCGGTTTTTCCCTGGAGAGTGGTTAAGAATCACACAAATCTCTACTTTAAGGTCTAACTATATAATAATAACTAAAGCAAGTATTGAAGAGGAATAAGACACAAAATTATTGAGTTTTCTTTTGTTGTACATTTTAGTTAATGAGATCAGTTTTGCACCTGGTGATATTATGAAAGCCACCATCACCTAAAGTATTCAGAACTTTTACAAATTTTTTCAAGCCATTTTCTGACCATTTCCAACCACTTTTGTACAACCATAGTCATTCTTTTTGTTTTTCAGCAGTGGAATCTGTTGAGAGGTAAGAACAAATGCATTCCTTAGATGTAGTAATTTCTCCTTTTTCTTTTATTACAGGTTAAAACTGCTTATAAGTGTGCATGTGTCTTACGAGACACCATAAACCCATACCTTCTGCGGAGAATGAAGTCAGATGTCAAGATGAGCCTTTCTTTGCCAGATAAAAATGAACAGGTCTGTAAATATAGAATTTAACCAAATAGTCCTCAAGCACAGGTGTGCCTGTCCCTTCACTCTAATTTTCCTGTGTATAACAGATTAGGGGGGCTGGGGATGTGGCTCACTTGCCTAGCATGCGTGCGGCCCGGGTTCAATCCTCAGCACCACATACAAACAAAGATGTTGTGTCCGCTGATAACGAAAAAAATAAATATTAAAATTCTCTCTCTCTCTCAAAAATAATAATAAATAAATAAATAAATAAATAAGGTTCAGAATGAAACAAAGATTTCCTCAGGAGATTGGTACATGTGGATGTGTGGGTAAAGAGGGATTGCTGTATAGGCCTGACATTTCCTTAAAAAAAAAAAAAAAACAGATTAGGCCAACAGGTGGGTCCTGGTGCTGTAAGGCAGGCTGGTCCTCATTTGCATGTGACAGGTGTACCTCTGTGGCATCTGCCCTCAGTTAGACTCTTCCTCTGACCCATGGACTTTGTTTTCTCTCTCCTAACACATGGATTTCTTTTAACTACTTTTCTTAAAAGCTTCATTTTCCTTAGGCCCCCAGTTCATTCATACTATACATTGTATTAGATGCCAACCATGTTTTCAGCATGATTCAAGTCTCTGGACACATTAGGTAGCAGGGCAAGTTATCATGATTCTCACATTTATTCTTAATGTAGAGAGAGACTCACAAATAAGTATAGAAGATGGCAGGTGGTTGAGTATGGAGAAAATTGAATCTGGGCGAGGAGATGGGGAGTGCTAGGGGCAAGGGTTTAGGCTTTTTATGAGATAGTCTGAGAAGATCTCTGATGCAGTGGCATTTGAACAGAGACCTACAGAAGGTATTCGAGTGAGTTGTATGGGAGTTGCAGAAAGACTATTCCTAGGGGTAGACTGGAGCAGTGCATTGGTAGTCTTGAGGACCAGTAGGGAAGCCAGTGTGACCAAAGGAGCAAGGATAAGAACCACAGGGAGGAAGCCAAACTACTGGCTAGAGGCCAGATGTCAAGGGCCTGCTGATCATGGGGAAGACTGTAGATTTTACTTTTTGCAAGGCGGAAAGTCATAGGATTATACTGAGCTAAGGATTGATGTCATTTGATTTGGTGTCAAAAGAATTGTTCTTCTAAATTCCATCCTGGTATTCTGTAATCTTAAAAGATGATTGTACCTCTGCTTGGCACCTGTAAATGCATTATAGATGTTGGATGTTTAAACTGAATAGGACTTTTGACTTCTGTCATCAAGGCTACTTTTCCTTTCATCCTTGCCTCTTCTCTTCCCACCACACTTATCTCTACTTTGAGCCTTTTATCTTCACATTCTCTAAACATTCTCCCCTTGTAACCAAGTCCCCAAACCACAGTTGTCTGAACTGGTTAATTCCAAGTCAGCCACTGCTGTAACATTTATTTGTCCTTTTTCATTCTTACTTTCTTATGTTTCACACTCATGACTTTGGTCATAAACTGGTGCAGTTGATGTCTGACAAGCTTCCCACCCAACAAGACTTCCTGCTCCATGCAGTATTTCCCATTGTTGCTGGATTAATTTTGCCTAAGGTTATTCCTATCAGCATACCTTCACTGTTCCTTCCCCATCACCTGTTTAAGATCACCAAATTGATTTATTCACACCATTTATTTTCACTATGGAATCTCAACTGTGTTTACTATGCTATAGCCAAACGAATCACTTTCTGCTTTTTCAACATGTGTCTCTCTTCTTTGCTTTTAAGTCCCCTCCACCTGAAGATTCTGACACACCCACTCCACCCTCCAGAAAACACACGCAGAGAAGTTTCTTTATTAAGATCCTCCGAAGGGGCTGGAGTTGTGGCTCAGTGGTAGAGCACTTGCCTAGCATGTGTGAGGCACTGAGTTTGATCCTCAGCACTACATAAAAATAAATAAATAAAATAAAGGTATTGTGTCCATCTACAACTAAAAGTATTAAAAAAAAAAAAAAGTGTATGATTGCACGAATGGTGTGACTCCACATCAGGTACAACCAAGAAATGAAAAGTAGTGCTCCATTTGTATAAAAAATAATTAATGAAACAACAACAACAAAAAAGATCCTCTTAGTCTCTCTACTAGACTGGAAACTCCTGGAAATCTGACTCTGTGTAACCATCTAAAAATCCCTTGTAAAAAATATTACAGTGATTCCTAGGTGCTAAGCACCTGGCAAACTATTGGTTTAGTTTTCTTTGTGTTTTAGAGGAAGGGCTTTTTTTTCTGTTGTCCTTGAAATTAAGACTGAAATACAAATGTAAGAAATTGAGAATTGTAAACTCTGAGGTTAATATTTTAGAAAGACTACTCATGCCACAAATGAAAGTTTTTTGAGGGAAAGAAAGTAGAAGCAGAAGGATAAGTTAATGAGATCTTCCAAAATCTTTGGAGAGAAAATGTGGCTTGGACCGGTAGAAAGTTGGGGTTGACAGAAGGTACTTGAAGGGCCCAGTGATGTCCAGATTTCCCTCTTAGGATGCTGGGATATATCTATTGTTATAGAGGCTTCAGAAGGATGTGACTGAGAGGTTTAATTTATGATGCCTGTGAAGTGCCTATGCAAACACTCCCTTGCCCAAGGCTGTTGCAAATTAGTCTAGAGGTTTGAGGAGGATCTTAGGATGTAACTAACACGTGTTAAACAGGGGTGTTAAACAGGGATTGGTTTGCCCGTGGAGTAGGTGGAGAATGAGAAAAGACAAGCAGCCCAGAGGAGCACTAACACCTAAGAAAAGGGTAAAAGAAAAGAAGCTGGCTAGGAAGATAGGGAAGCCCAAGCAGACAGGTAAGAGGTGGGTTAGGAGGACTGGAGGCCAGTGTTGCAGAGCAACAGGGTGAATGGACTGAACTGGAAAGAACCTGATGATTTTGGCAACTCTGAAGTCATTAGTGACAGACACATAGGAACAAAATCAGTGGCATCAGTCAGGGTGCCCATCAGACTTGCTATCTGCAGAAACACCTAGGTGAAACAGTGGAATGGAAGTAAGGATTTTCCCCTATTATTTCAGGAAGTTTCCTCCCTTTTTTAGAGTGTCAAATGGTCATGGTTTTCAGATATGGTGCAAAGGTTGAGGAGTTAACATCGATCCTGTATTGGATTCTGTTCCTCTGGAATAAGGGAAACTAAGGTGAGGTAGATGCAGAAGTAGAAACATTTTAGGGAGTGGAAACTAGGGAATTCTGCCTGATTCTGGTGGCTTCAGGTTTGATTTTTATCATTTTGTTTTTATATGATTGCTTTTAAATAAAAGTTGAGACAATGGTGGCTGAAATGGAGTAGCTTGGGGAAATGAGTGTTGGCACAACAGTTCTCATGCTGCACTGGGCTTTAGGAAGGTACTGGGCAGGGTGTGTGTGGAGGCGTTCTCTGAAACAAGAAGTGGCAAGCCACCACAGGATGGGAGACGGTGCTAGATATTGACCATAAAAAGTCGAGAAGGCAGGTGGGAGAGTGGATCTGCTTCTGGGAAATTCATATGGCAATTGCAGTAGGTTGAAAAGGGCCTGTACTGGTGACACAGGGTAGCTGTCTGGCCACACAAGGGTATATGACTGGCCACAGAAGAAAGTCAAGCCGTGAGGTGATGGTGGTAAACTTAGAGAAAGAGAAAGGTTGAGAGATAGGAAGTCCATGAACCCAATGGCATGGAGTAATTGACCTCAGAGATGAGTCTAATTAACTTATGAACTTCAGGAAAAGAGGAATTCTAGGTGAGGTGAAGGTCCCTGTCAGGTCTGCTGAGCAGAGTGCGCATAAAGGGCATTGAAGATGGAGTAGTCTGGGCACGTTGAGGCCAGGAATGGTCTATAATTGGATCCTGAACTTGGCCTGTGAACAGGAAGCTAGTCTTTACTGTTGGGGTAATAGGGCAGGGACCAGGAGATAGGTAGATACAAAAGTGGAGAAATGGTCTTTGTTCAACAATGAGAGGTATCATCATTTTTTGTTGTTTTAGTAAGTAGCATTGTTAAAATTGCACATGTTGTATTCTTTTGATTAGAGAACCAAATGCTTATGTTGTAATATTTTAATTACTTTATTCTAATAATTTTTTTAAATTATACTTTCTTTATTTTTTCCCCCTGTAGGTCTTATTTTGCCGTCTTACAGATGAGCAGCAGAAAGTCTACCAGAATTTCATTGATTCCAAAGAAGTTTACAGGATTCTAAATGGAGAGATGCAGGTCAGCCTTAGAACAGAAGCTGTATAACTTGTGTATGAGAAGAGGTGGGGGAGGAAAGGAAACTGGTGTCTAGAATGTGCCAGGATTTCTATATCATGTCATCTCAGTTGATTTGTTGGTGAGCTGTGGGGAAGTATGAAGTCAGAGCTCTAGCATGAAGATAGTAAAGTGCAAAGGAGGAAGGTCAATAGTGGGAGATTGGTAGCCATGAGCTATGGAGCTGGAATGCAACTGTGGGTGTGACCACGAGGCCGATAGTTCCTGTGGCTCTCAAGGGTCTCACCTAGCAGGTGGATGAGTGTCAGGTACATTGCTGGGTTGTCCTGGGAATGATGGCAGAAATTATATATAATGAGAGGATTATGAGGATTCGTAATTTTCATCAGTTTCTTAAGGGAGCCCTGAACCCTAATAAACATGAATCACTACCAGGTTAGAAAAAAATATAATTCTGGTTTAAATGTCTCTGGTTCTAATTCTCATCATCCCCAGTGTGTGAAAAGAATTTATGGGCTGGGATTGTGGCTCAGCGGTAGAGCGCTCGCCTAGCATGCATGGGGCCCTGGGTTCGATCCTCAGCACCACATAATAATAAAAAAATAAAGATGTTGTGTCCACCGAAAACTAAAAAATAAACATTAAAAAATTTTTCTCTCTCTCTTTCTCTCTCTCTTAAAAAAAAATAATTTATGTCACTCTATTCCTTCCAAAACTCCAAAAACTCCTTCTGTGGTTGTCCAGAATTCAGAAGTAGATAATGTCTTCTTAGAAAAAAATCAAAATAACAACAATGGAAAAACATTATATAAATAAATGAATGTGCTAGAATTTAGCTCTCTGGAACATGTTCCCATGGTGGACTGTCCCTGGGAACTTTTAAAATAAGAATGTGCTGCTGAGATTGTATGCTGGAAGCTAGTATCTAAATGCTATTTAGATGGCATGTGCTTCTGCTTGGTTAGGAATTTTCTGTGACCCTTTGAAAACATTTTGACTAAATTTCAAGCCTTGAAGAAGTGAAAGAACACATTAAATTTGTGTATGTTCCATTTCATCTCTACTGCAGTACTGTTGTATTTGAATCCAACCCTGTGGTCTAATGGAAGAATAGCTAAGTATTGGCATCTGCAATGATGAGGTTTTCAGGGACTGAGGCTCCCATGCAGAATATAGGGAAACAGCCCCAGAGTGCTAGTGTGAGTGGACACATTGAGGAAAAATCATTTTTACACATTTTTTTCTACAATAACATTGTAACTATAGATAGCACTAAGTGCTCATAGTGTTATATGTATGTTAAATAAGTAGGTACAAAATATAATCTTCATTTAGTCTAAAGCTGTAGGGCTTTAGACTAAACTGTACCCCTTCTTTGTGTATACCCTGTGAATTTTGTCTTATTGATTTGATATATAAGATTCCTAAGGCTGAGGATGCTCACTCTGCTTGCTGTCATCCTGAGCAAGAGCCATTTCTTCGAGGTGCTTTCAAAACAAGCCTTAGGAATCCAGGTTTAGGAATACAGACTTTTCTGTATCCTTTAATCCATGCTGAGCTTTGAAGTCATGGTCCTTGTCCTGTCCCATTGGACTAGTGATGTGTGTGGATCGAGATGAATGCAGGCAGTGTGGCTGCCTGTGTTCATAGTATCTGAGTGCTTGTGCTTCCAGATTCAGTAGTTTCTTTCATTCTTTTAACTACATCTGTTTCTTACTTCATCAGTCACTGGTATGTATAAAGGCTTCTAAATCATTCACATTTCTTCAGCTCTTAAATCTCCCCTTCACTTCTTCATGTGCCTCCAAGATCAAAATGATAGATAGAGAATGCAAGCCACACCTGTAAGTTTCAATTACATTACAAAGGTAAATAGATAAATAGAAAATTAATGTTGATTGTGTATTTTATTTAACCTAATATATCTAAAATATCATTTTAATGTATAATCAAAGTTTCAGAATGATTAATGAGATATGTTACTCTTCTTTTTTTTGTATTAAGTTTCTGAAATTGGGCATATATTTTGCATTTGCAGCATATCTCAATTCAGACTAGCCACACTTAATATGCTTCATAGCCTCATGTGGCTAGTGGCTACTCTGTCAGACAGTGCAGGTCAAGAGGAAGAAAAATGAGTTAGAGATGGCTCTTTGGGAGTTTTCACAGTATTTCTGATTTGTTCAGATCTTTTATTATTTGCTTGTGTAACTGTTTGGGGGTTTAAACTGTCATCCCTTTGATTATTCACTTAATTTATTAGCTCTTTTTTTCTTTTTGGTACTGGGGATTAAACCCAGGAGTTCTTAACCACTAAGCCAATTCCCAGCTCTTTTTATTTTTTATCTTGAGGTAGGGTCTCCCTAAGTTGTGTAGGGCCTTGCAAAGTTGCTGAGGCTGGCCTTGAGTTTGTAATCATACTATCTCAGTTTCCCACACTGCTGGGATTACAGGTATGTGCCACCACACCCAGCTGATATCTCTTTTTCTACTTGAGCTCTCATACTAATGAATTTTATTTGAGTCACACTCTGAAATCTGTGAGAAGGCCTGTTCTTGTTGTTTTGTTAATGTCCTCAGGCAGGGGCTGAGGCAAGGGTTAGGGAATACTTACCCCAGCCTCTTATACTTTTCTGTTGTATGAACCTTTCTTCATATCCTTCTCATTTGTGCATTTGTCATGCAGATTCATTTTCTTTTTTTAGTTATAGGTGGACATACTATCTTTATTTTATTTGTATGTGGTGCTAAGGATCGAATCCAGTGCCTCATGCATGCTAGACAAGTGCTCTACCTTTGATCCACAACTCCAGCCCCAGATTCATTTTCTGATGTAGTAATAATATACAGGTAAATAAAACTTCAGCCTCTGACTCACTCACACATTCAACTGCAGAATTTCATTGAGTTGCTTAGGAATGTAATATTTAAATATATCTGATAGTTAACATGACTGATTTCTCTAAATTTAGATTGGTATGATATTTCAGATTTTTATTTTTAAGGAGTCAGTTTTTATATAAAGATTACAATGCAGTTAACCACATACCATTTTTTACTAGTAAAGAAAGTAAATTATTAGCAGTTATGAATATGACCCCTGTAGACATGTTCAGTCCAATAGAATTATTTTGTTTCCAGAGAATTGCCCTATCAGGGAAAGAAGATGAGCAAAAGTTAATGTCTTCCAGCTCCTAATAATGCGATTAGGAAAGAAAATAAGAAGCTAGTAAAGAATGATTTTTTTTTTAATCCATGTCACGTATGGAATAGCCTCCTTCCCTTCCTTCTTTCCTGAATGTTATTTGTACATGGGTAATCTGAGTGCACGTGTGTTCTTTTGTATCACAGATTTTCTCTGGACTTATAGCCCTAAGAAAAATATGCAACCACCCTGATCTCTTTTCTGGAGGTCCTAAGAATCTCAGAGGTCTTCCAGATGATGAACTAGAAGAAAATCAGTTTGGATACTGGAAACGTTCTGGGAAAATGATTGTTGTTGAGTCTTTGTTGAAAATATGGCAAAAGCAGGGTCAGCGAGTGTTGCTGTTTTCTCAGTCAAGACAGGTGAGTGAAAGAAAGAAGTTCTATCTGTTCTTCATATAAGAAAGAAGTCTGCTCTTCATGCCTTAAAAATAGGATATAATCGCCATGCACAGTTGCACATGCCTATAATCCCAGTGATTCAGGAGGCCGAGATAGTAAGATCGTAAGTTTGAGGCTAACCTCAGCAACTTAGAGTCTCACTTATGTGCTGAGGGTTGTGCTATCTCAAAATGAAAAGGGCTGTGGATATAATTCAGTGGTTAAGCAACCCTGGATTTATTCCCCAATACAAAAAAAAAAAAGTGGGGGGGGGGTATAATAAACTAAAATGCTTCTAAAGCAAGTCTGCCACTGTTGTTAAAATGGCAGCCTGTAGATCTCTTTAGGAGCTTGGATCTTTCTCTAGAAATGGCATCTAGAATTGTTTTGGTGGTGTTGTTGCTGCTGCTGCTGCTTTTTGTACTAGGGATTGAACCCATTGGTGCTTAAACACTGAGTCACATCCCCAGTCCTTATTTATTTAGAGACAGGGTCTTCCTAAGTTGCTTAGGGCCTTGCTAAGTTTCTGAGGCTGGCTTTGAACTCACGATCCTCCTACCTCAGCCTCCTGAACCACTGGGATTACAGGTGTGCACCACTGTAACTGACTAGAGTTGGTTTACAAAAAAAAATGATGTGATTCTGGTATTAAGGTGAGTTTGGGCCTGAGGTAGGGCTACTTAAAAAGTTTTAAGAACTAATCCCAAGGAAATAGGCCCATTGGGGAAGATATGGCTATTTATACAGATAGAGAAAGACTCACCAGGAGGTATATCTTATTTGCATGCTCTTTTCCTCCCATCAAACAGATGTTACACATACTAGAAGTGTTCCTGAGAAGCCAGAAGTATTCCTATCTCAAGATGGATGGAAGCACTACCATAGCATCAAGACAACCATTGATTACAAAATACAATGAGGTAACAAGGAGTCAGCACTACATATAGTGCTGCTATATGTAGAGGGACAAGAGTGAATACATCCACAGCCACCTGAGCAGTGTTTATGTTTCCTAGGGCTGGGTAGCTGCTGAAGGGAAATGTTGTGCTTCTGTACACTTCAGGATCTTTGGGAAGTGGGATATGCATGTACTTAAAAAATGTCCTTCTTGAAAACCAAGTTTTGTTTTTTTTTTTTTTTAAGATGGACACAATGTCTTTATTTTATTTTATTTTTTTGTATGTGGTGTTGAGGATCAAACCCAGTACCTCACAAGTGCAAGGCAAGCTCTCTACTTCTGAGCTATAATGCCAGCCCCGAAAACCCAGTTTTTAAATGTTACTAATATAATTAGTTGAGTAGGAATTATGAGGTGAGCCTGGTTCACCAAAGGTCTCTGGGACATCACCATTCCTCATACTGGGAACAGCCTAGTAGTCCACATATAGAATATGTGTGGGCAGAAACAAAAAGCTGTAGCTAGTCTCAGATGTATCTGCTAAGTGCCATGTGTCTTTCCTGTAGGACACGTCCATCTTCGTGTTTCTTTTGACCACGAGGGTTGGTGGCATAGGAGTCAATCTGACTGGGGCCAACAGAGTCATCATCTACGATCCTGACTGGAACCCAAGCACTGATACACAGGTCTGTCTTTTACTTTAAAACCAAAATGTGTTAGTAGAAATGGAGTTTCTCGGTTAGCACTGTGATCATTCTTTGATGTTCTAATTGATTCACAGTCCAAATTTTGGTAGTTTCCTGTTCTTTTACATGAATGAACACATCCTTTAGGGTTCCATAGGCAGAAGAGTTTTCAGCAGTTACCACAGCATCCATTTCTAGATATGGAGTAAAAAAAGCACAAGCAAAGTTAGGATATTTTTCAGATCTAGATGTCTTGGTTCAGTTTTTGTCAACTGACTATTCATGTCCTTTAAAAGGCCTTAGGTGTCTGTGGCCTCATTAGCCAAAATTTTATCTCAGAGAGTGAAAGCACTGACCAGCTATCTTTGTTTCTAATCAGCACTTGCAGGGGAAGGGTCCTCATTAAGATCTCTCTCTCTGCTGCAGGCCCGAGAGCGAGCATGGAGGATAGGACAGAAGAAGCAGGTGACTGTGTATAGGCTTTTGATGGCGGGCACAATTGAAGAGAAGATTTACCATCGGTTGGTATAGATGGCTGCCCAAGTTTTGACTGCACCCAGAGTTTTGAGCAGGGAGTATTTTTTAAGTGTTGATTTAAAAATAAAATAATTGCTATAACTTAAAGGATATAGTTTTTCTTCTATTGTGATTTTTTCTTTGACATAAGCATAGATGGCTTAATGGTGAGTTTTCAAAAATGTCTTCAAATTTGATCATCATTGTACCTTATTTTACTTCAAAGACCACTTATGTGTAAACTTGATAATGTTATCTGAGAGAACTGTTTCTACCTGCTAGGGTATTCCACTTTTGGATGTGGGGGTTTGTGAGATTAAACTCAGGGGCACTTGACCACTGAGCCACATCCCCAGCCCTATTTTGTATTTTTATTTAGAGACAGGGTCTCACTGAATTGCTTAATGCCTTGCTTTTTCTGAGGTCGGTTTTAAACTTCCAATCCTCCTGTCTCAGCCTTTCGAGACGCTGGAATTAAAGGTGTGTGCCACCATGCCCTGCAATATTCCACTTTTAGGAAAATTGTGAAAAATTGTGAAAAGTGGCAGAGTTGAAGTTAACATTGGCATTTTCACATGCCTCTCAGGTGTGATCAGCATAGTCTTGGACTCAGATGGCTCTTGGAGAGAGGTTGATGGGACTTCTGTTCCTTCCTCTATCTTTCTTTGGAATGCAGGGGTTTTCAGCAGTGATAAATTCAGCAGTAGAGTCCAGATTTTGCCACCCACTGGAGAGTTCATTCTTATATGCTATACCCCAGTTGCTAAAGGGAAGCTACTACTCTCCACTGTGCCCTGGATCATTCCTAGAATGTTCCATGTCCTTAAGTCCTATTGTGGAGGATTGGAGATGAGTTGGATTTTGTGAGAAGAGAGGTTTAACTTGGGGGAACAGTGCTGCTCTCTCGAGATGACTGTAAGAGGGACAGTGGTATGGGGCTTTGGCACAGAGTGTGGATCAGAAAGTGGGAACTGACAGGGCAGGTCAGAGTCAGGACTTTGCAAAACCCAGGTCAGTTTCCTGAACCCATCATAGGAAGGTCAGAGCAGGGCAGGAGATGGGATCTGTGGTCCATGAATCAGGGAGACTCTTGCAGCTTTGAGAAGCTTTTAGCTGCATGAATGTGTATGAAAAATATTTTTTGAAATATTTTGAGGTTGTAAAAGCTCATTTTAATAAGGTATTCTTTCAAATCTAAATTCTATGAAACATGGAAGATCAACTGATATATACATCCAGAACTATAATCTTATAAGACCGAAAGTTTGGGGGATTATTTAGGCATTTATACAGATGCAGTTATATCTCATGTTGTTTTATAACTGAAGTTTTGAAGTGTATCTAACATTATTTCATACTAGCATAATTTTTATCTTTATAGACAAATCTTCAAGCAGTTTTTGACAAACAGAGTCCTAAAAGATCCAAAACAAAGGCGGTTCTTCAAATCGAATGATCTTTATGAGCTGTTTACTCTGACTAGTCCTGATGCATCACAGAGCACTGAAACTAGTGCTATTTTTGCAGGTATTACATAAAGTCATTTAATTCAGAATTATCAATTTTATATGAATAATGTAATGTAACATTAGTGTTGTTTTCCCTCTTTAAAGGAACTGGTTCAGATGTTCGGACACCCAAATGCCATTTAAAAAAAAAGATTCCATCAGCCTTTGGAACAGATAGTGGAATTCCAAATTGCAGAAAATTTCCTGATTCTGATACATCTATAAACGATGAAGAGAAATCTAAGAGAAATTTGACTGAAGAGAAATCTAAGGCAACAGAAACTGAAGGAAATACAGAAACTTCTGCTGAAAGTAATCCTTTAAAAAGTAACCCTCATAGAAATGGGAACGTAACTAGCAGTGATCGGCTTGAAGAAGAGACAAAAGCAGTGTCTGGACGGGAGGAGCCAATAGTGATTAGTGGAAATAGGGACCGTTCAGATTCTGCAAGCATTGGTGGAAAATCCCAGCCATCTGGTGAAGAAAGCACTGATGAAAAGCAAAGTCCTTCTTATAAAGGAGAAAGCTCCCAGGTTCAGTCAGAACGTCTTAGGAAGAATGAACAAATTGAAAGTCATTTTTGTAAGCACAAGTCAAAAACAAAACATCATAATGTGTCAGAAGAAGAGATCTCAGAAAAACATCTTCAGCAGCAGCCAAAGGTCAAAAACTCTAAGCATTGTAAAGATGCCAAGTTTGAAGGAATTCGAGTCCCACACCTGGTGAAGAAAAGGCAGTACCACAAACGAGACACTGAGCGTGCGAGTGAGGCCCAGGAACGGAGCAGCGATGATTATGTTTTGGAAAAGCTTTTCAAAAAATCAGGTAATACTTTAGGTGCATTTACCAACTGGTGCTAGGAACGAGAACAAGGAGCCATTTCTAGCGTGGCATCCTTTAACTGATGATACAGAGGGGGGTCATAACCAGAGATGTTTTCCTTCTAAAATTTAGATTTCAATTGTATTGACATTCTGAAAATTTTATTTACCCCCTTTTCTGAAGAACTGGAGAAGTTTGAAACTTTGGGAAACAAATAACCACTCACAGGCAAGATGTAATGCTTTAAATAGACATGTTCTGTCTGAACTTTAATAGGCAATTTCCCAGCCAACTACATAGGGTCCTTTCCATACTCATGATTCTTCTTTTTGACTGAGAAGTATTAACCATCATTCTCAGCAGCTTGACTTCCTATATCAATCTTAGAATACATAGTAGCACTAGGATTCCCAACCTTTACCCCCACAAAAGACAACCATGCTAACTAGAGTTCAATATTTTTTTATATTTCTTTTTGTCTTTGGTCTGGAGTTTTTAGTCCACACAATATGGTCAAAAGTTTCTTGGTTCTTCTTTTTCCTCTCCTTTTTCTCTGTTGTCACAGTTGATAACACAGGTTAGTTTATTTCTGCTTTTATCCATTTTAGGGTCCCCCCATCCTTGTTTATTTTACTTTTTGAATATATAACATATTAATATAAAGTTATAAAGGTCAAAACTATACAGATAGATATATTCAAAGAATTGTTATCTTCACCTCCATTCCATCACTTCCTCCTCAGTTACATGTGTTTATACCCTTTCTTTCCTGTGTTTCTTTGTGTCAAAATATGTAGCACATATTAGTCTGATACAAAGGGTACCTACTATAATATCTTAACCTTTTAAAAACTGTCATACATCCTGACAGTCACTCTGTATTTATTAATAGAAAGCTTCCTACTTTTTTATTGCTGTTATGTGGACATACCATAGTTTATTCACATTTGAGCATTTAGATTATTAATACCTTTTTTTAAATCTCAACTTTGCAATAATCTTGTGTTCATGTTATGGTTTGCATCTGGAAATGTCCCCCCAGAAGTTTTCATCTTAGGCAACACAGCAGTGTTCAGAGGCAAAAAGATTGGATTATGTGGGCTATAATCTCATCAATGAATAAATCCATTGATAATTGTACTATTGGGTGGTATTAATAGGCAGGTAGAGCATGGCTGGAGGAAGTAGGTCATGGGGTATGTGTCCTTGGACTGTGTCTCTCTGTGGATCTTTACTCTTCTTTTTGCTGCCACAAGCTAAGCAGCTTTCCTCTGCCATGATATTTTTGCCTTGAAGCCAGCTGTGACCTCTGAAACCATGAACCAAAGTCAACTTTTCTTAAGTTATTCTTGTCATATTTTGGTCACAGTGACAAAAAGCTGGCTAGCATAACCTATATACTTTAGTACTGTGTTAGAGATAAAAGTTTCAGAGAAAATTCCTGAAAGTGAGATTGCTGCATCAAAAGGTAATTATATATATATATATATATATATATATGTGTGTGTGTGTGTGTGTATACGTTTTTTTTGTTCTTTGGAGATAATGCCATTTTCCCCTTCATAAGGTTTATATCAAATTGAATTGTCACCAGTAATGTATAAGTGACTGTCCCAGACCCTTGCTAAGAGAGTTTGTTCTATGTTTAACTTTGGCTATCTAAAATTTTGAAGAATGATACCTTGTTTTATTTCACTGAGTGAAGCTGAACAACATTTATAGAACCATTTATATCTTATTCCTTTTTTTTTTTTTAATTTCCATGAGAATTGTTTGTTTATGACTTCTGCCTGTTTTCTAAATCAGTATTTTGGCTTTTGTTCCCCTTTAAGTTTTTTTTTGTTGTTGTTTTAATAAATTGAGGATGTTAACTCAAAACATTCCTATTTATTGATTTATTTATCATATATGTTGCATATATTTTCTCAATTTGTCTTGTTTTACTTATAATGATTTTATTCATGAAAATGTTATCTAGAAAAATATATAGGGCTATGGGTATAGCTGAGTGGTAGAACACTTGCCTAGCATGTGCAAGGATCTGTGTTTGATCTCCAGCCCCTTGAAAAACAAAACAAAAAAGGTAATTCAAATTTATCAATCTTACCTGTTATTTATTTTGAGTCATGGATAACAAAAACATTTTTTACACTTAGATAATAATGGAATTCACCACATTTTCTTGAACTTGTATCATGTTTCACCACATTACTTATATGACTTTTTTCCTACATTTAAGTCTGTCTAATCCACTTGGATTAAGTAACTCCTTACCTTTTCCAGCATCGTTTATTTAAAATCTGTTTTTCTCCAGTGACTTGAGATGCCACCTTTATCATATAGAGCATTTCTATATCCTTTGTACATTTGGTGACTAATCCCCTGCTTTATTTATTCCTGCCTTGGCAAAACACTTGGAATTAAGAGTGTTCTACTGTTCGTCTGCTATCAGTTAAGGCATAGCTTTCTGGTGTTTTCCTAGCTGATTGTGCTTGTTTGTTTTTTCATATGTCAGAATCAGTTTGTCTAGCTTCATAAAAGCAGTTCTTGGTGTTTTTATTGGATTTACACTAAATGTATAAATTAGCACAGGGAGGAAGGTTATAAAGTCATTCCAGTCAAGAGCAAGGGATGTCTTTCCATTTGTTCAGGCCTAACGCGTCCTCCTAGGCATGTTTTAAAGTTTTCTCACATGTAATGGCTTTACATGTATCTTGGGTTTATTCCTGTTTTATGTTCTTTGTTATTGTAATATGGAGCTTTTCCCACCATTGTATTCTTTTTTAAAAATAATCACCTGTATGCAAGTTGGAAAACTAAACAAAATAGACAATTTCTAAGCAAAACAGACCAGCAACATAGAAGAAATAGAGAAAGTTATCAATGATAAACATAGCACAAAGAATATAAATCAATATCATTTTTGAACATCAATAAAAATTACTAAGTACAATACTAGGAAATAAAATTTTAGAAATTCTATTATTTGTGAATAGAATAGAAAGCTTATAGATTTCCGTATATTAATTTTTATGTTTCATTCTTAGAATTCTGAGTTATTGTTAAAGTTTTGTCATTGATATTCTAGGATTGTCTAGATGGGTTGTCATTAAAAACTTCAAAAAGAAGGATCGGGGACATAACTCAGTGGTAGAGCACTTGTCTAGCATGCATGAGGCCCTAGGTTCCATCCCCAGCACTGGAAAAAAAAAAAATAAAGGAAAAAAAAAACTGCAAAAAGAAAATTTTACTTTTTCATTTTATGTCTTTAATTGATTTTGCTTTTTTTTTTAAATTGCACTGGCTAGTAACTCAATTAAAATGGAAAGTGAATACTGGAGATAATATACATCTTTCCATTCTCAGTGGAAATAACTTCTATCGTTTACCCATGAAGTAAGATTCTGGTGTTATGACTAAGGTATATGTTTTATTATATTAAGGGAATATCATCACTTCCCAATTTGGGGGGTTTTCTTTAGTATTTTTTTTTTATTGATGTTCATAAAGGATATTGATCTATATTCTTTGTGCTATGTTTATTTCTTCTATGTTACTGGTCTGTTTTCCTTAGAAATTATCTATTTTGTTTAGTTTTCCAACTTGCATACAGGTGATTTTTTTAAAATTAACTTTGTTCCATAATAATTTCCCCCTTTTTATTTATAATTCTGTAAATTTATTTTTCCTTTTATTTCCCTTGATTAAGCCATGCTATTTAGTTGTCTATTTTGTATTATTTTTCAGTAAACTGGGATTTTGATTTATTAAACTGGATCTGTGGTTGTTCTCTACCTTATTTTTGCTTTTTTCTTTATTACTTTCTTCCTGGTATTTTTGTTTTTATTGTATTTTGGTTGGAAGTTTTGTTTTAATTTTTGTATAGGTTTTTTTTCTTTTTGTAACTTGTACTTGGAAATTTAATTCACTTTTTATTCTTTATTGATATAAATGTCAATACTATGAAATTGTCTACTGATCACTGTATTAAGTTTGTCTCAGTGATTCTGATACATAGCATTTTTATGATTGTTATTTTTAGAAATTCTATAATTCTGGTTTATATTTTCTCCTCATTGAAGACTTTATTAATAGGTTTTTGCTTTTCTTCTGGATAGCAGGGGAAAGGGTAAATATTAAAGTTGAGATTAAAGCATTTTCCCTAGTTATTTTAAAAGAGGGATAATTAATAACTCTCCCCCTTAGGGTAGTAGTGAGGGTGAATAGAAGTGGTTTTTGTGAAGTTCCTGAGTTCTAACAGCCACTTCGCAAATAGCAGCTAAAGATGTTCTTTTCATCTCCTACAACCCTAGACTATTATAGAGGAAAATAGTATCCTGTTCAATGAACTGAAATGTGACTCTCGATGTTTTCTTTGTTCTTATCAGTGGGTGTGCACAGTGTGGTGAAGCACGATGCAATCATAGATGGAGCCAGCCCTGATTATGTCCTGGTAGAGGCAGAAGCCAACCGAGTAGCCCAGGACGCCTTGAAAGCCTTGAGGCTCTCTCGACAAAGGTGTCTTGGGGCAATGTCTGGTATCCCCACCTGGACTGGCCACAGGGGGACTTCAGGTGCACCAGCAGGAATAAAGTAAGAGATTGCTCCCTGCCATGTTTACAAGCAGGACAAACAGTGAAGACTAGCAGAAAAGTCAGGGCAGGTGAACATGCTCACCTGCTTGCTTATCTGCAGTAATAGGAAATTTCTCAGGGAAACATTGTGTACATCAGAGTGGGTGATTTGGGAAATACAGTGGTCTTACCTTCTTCCTCACTTTCATTCCCTGCTTTCTAAAGCTGAATTGCAGGTGAAGTAGTAATGAGTTTTATTTGAAAGATGGTAATGTTAAAAATAGTACAAAAGGGTTGAGGTTGTGGCTCAGTGGTAGAGTGCTCACCTAGCATGTGTGAGGCTCTGGGTTTGATCCTCAGCACCACATAAAAATAAAGTAAAGGTATTGTGTCCATATACAACTAAAAAATTTTTTTTAAATACTGTAAGATTCAGAATAATGATTAAACTTTAATAAGATGATTAGCCAACTTACACCAATCAGTAATTACTATGCTCTTCAGTTTGCCATTTTTAGAATAACTTTCCTACCTATAATGTGAATGTGATTGCTTTCATGTGCTGAATGAGGATACTGAGTGGGTCTCATTCCAAGACGCATCAGTTACTTCCAAGTAGAACGAAGTGGAATAATCAAAGCAGACAGGTTGAAAACCAAAAATGACATGCTTTTGAAACTATAACCTTGATGATAATTTTCCAGAACAAATTTAGCTATTAAAGAAGTATTTTGATCATCACGTCACAAAAACTAACATTTTATCTACTGTGATTCTTTTTCTTATTTAGGAGTAGATTTGGTCAGAAAAAGAACTCTAACCTCTCTGTGCAGCGTCCTTCAACATCTCCAACAGATAAATGCCAGGTAATAAGATAGCATGTTTGCTTTTAATGTGGGGGAGTTTCTTGATTGAATTGCCAGGAAAATTTCACCAGATTCTGTATATGAAGATGGTTATTGCCCTCAGAAAGTTAATACAGGAAAAAAAGGATTGCTGGGAAGACAGCCTGGAGGGAACGTGCCTAGAGACCACCGTCCTCTAGAATGAAGCTACCAAAAAAAACCTTGAGTGTTGGAGTTTATATTGACTATGTGCTTATCTCTCCCTGTTCTGGAGCACACCATATGCCCTAAGCACTTCAGTAAGAGGAAAACTGGGTCAAACTGCACCATTCATTCTTTGTCTTTCTGCGTTAATGAGAGAACTTAAAAATTCCCAGGTTCAGATTCCAATTTTAGATTAGTATAAACGCATTTAGGAATAGAGAACCTTTCTGACTGTCTGTTTTGTGCTTTTGAGTAGTAGTTTGAGGCCCCTTCTAAGTTAGTTTTTATTGTTTTAGGGAAATTCACGTGAGTTATAACATAGTATCACGGGAGAAGACAGGTCTCCAAAGAATCCAAGGAGTTCCCAAAGAGAACTTGACTCAGGACCACCAGGGTTCTTGGCATATGTGATAGAAAAGAATTTGCAATACATGCCAAAGGCACAAAGGTTTATTTAAGAAAGTAGATAGAAATTCAAGGGAGAATGGGGCAATCTCAAAAGAGATGCCTTTAGGATAAAGCAAGGAATACACATTCAAGAGAAAATGCAGGAAATCTTTAGAGGGAGAGACGGCAATCCCTTGGTGTGTGATGTTAATATTCATAGAGGGCTGTTGCTAGGTACTGGATTAGAGGTGGATCCAGGTTGGAGCTACACAATTTGTACCAGTTTTCCCTGCACTTGCACATTGCCCTTATGTTACAAGGGCATGGATTCAGGGGCTTGCCAACTTGGAGTTTGCAATTATTCATGGTTTCTGTCTGCATTTCAGTGGTATATGGACTTTTCTTTTGGCACTCGGTGTCTCTCCCTTTATTCCCTAATTCCTATCTCTGTAGGAAAGAGTGAGAAGGCTTAAAAGTGAAGAAAAAGTGTAGCTGTGATATTGCTGCTTATCTCACTGAATTTCAGACAGGGTGCATGGGAAATTAAGAACAGAATAAGACTCCTAGCCACAGAAAGTGTCTCCAGGAAGCCTCCTAGGAGCAGTGCCTGAAGGACAGCCCTTCCTCCCTGCCTCCCTCTGCTCTTGTATGCAGAGTGGTAACCCATGGAGTGGCCTACTATTTCTTCCTTTTTATTTATTTAGACACACACACACAATATATATATATATATATATATGTACATATATATTTTATTCTAATTAGTTATGCATGACAGTAGAATGCACTTTGACACATCATACGTAAATGGAGTATTTAATTTCTCATTCTTCTGGTTGTACATGATGTAGAATTACACCGGTTGTGTAGTCAGTCATATATGTACATAGGGTAATAATGCCTGATTCATTCTGTTATCTTTCCTACCCCATACCCTCTCCCCTCCCTTCACTCCCCTCTATCTAAAGTAACTATTCTTCCCTAGCCCTGCTGTGTATTGTGAATTGGCATCTGCATGTCAGAGATTCATTCGGCCTTTGGTTTTTTGGGATTCGCTTATTTGGCTTTGCATGATATTCTCCAGCTCCATCCATTTACTGGCAAATGCTATAATTTCATTCTTCTTTAAGGCTGAGTAATATTCCATTGTGTATATATTTGACATTTTCTTTATCCATTCCTATGCTGATGGACACCTAGGTTGGTTCCATTGTTTTGCTATTGTGAATTGAGCTGCTATAACATTGATGTGGCTGCAACACTATAGAATCCTGATTTTAAGTTCTTTGGGTATACACCGAGGAGAGGGATATCTGGGTCAAATAGTGGTTCCATTCCAAGTTTTCTGAAGAATCTCCATACTGCTTTCCATAATGGTTGCACCAATTTGCTATCCTAGTTTTAGGAAATATTCTTTAACTGTGTATGGACTCAAATGTCTGGCTTACTTCCTTTCCTTTGGTGTTATGTGGAGTTTCATTCTTTCTACCATTACCTCACCACCTCGCACCTGAATTATTTTTCAACCCCTCAGAGCCTTTGGGGAACTAAGTAGGGGCATAATCTAGAATTTCACCTATCAACGTAGTGCTCTTTTTCCTGCAGGATGGTGTCATGAAAAAGGAGGGAAAAGATCATGGCCTTGATCACTTCAGTGGAAAAGCAGAAGATTCAGAGTCTTCTTCTGGGGCTCTTGCTTCCTCCTCACTCTTGGCCAGAATGAGAGCAAGAAATCACCTAATTCTCCCAGAGCGGTTAGAGAGTGAAAGTGGACACCTGCCAGAGGCTTCTGCCCCCCAGGCGCTCACCACAGAACATGATGACCTGCTGGTGGAAATGAGGAACTTCATTGCTTTTCAGGCCCACATTGACGGCCAGGCCAGCACTCAGGAGATTCTGCAGGAATTTGAGTCCAAGCTATCAGCGTCACAGTCTTGTGTCTTTCGGGAACTATTGAGAAATCTGTGCACTTTTCATAGAACTCCTCAAGGTGAAGGAATTTGGAAACTCAAGCCAGAGTACTGCTAAACAACACTAAATTTTCAGTCATGCCTTCTACTGGAAGTGTATGATTACCAACTTGTGCTTAATAATCATATGTTTGTCAAGGAAAGTTGGCTGCCCCTATGTGTACTTTAAAATGGCAACTACCTCATAACTAAAACTTTAAAGAAAAAAACTGTTCTCCAAAACAGAAGTTTTAATAATGCTATTAGAAGAAAAATACTTGGATGAATTTTTTTTTTTCCATTATGAATTGTGTTCTAAAATCAGGGACTTAACAGTTGCTTCTTGGAGCACATTTGTTCCTTTACCCAAAAGATGGTGTCAGGGAGCATATAACTATTCATTTAGAAGTTTACAGAATAGAGCTGCGTGCTGTGGTGCACTCCTAAAATCCCAGTGACTCAGGAGGCTGAGACAAGAGAATCTCAGGTTGAAGGCCACCATCAGCAACGTAGCAAGACCCTTTTTACTTTAAAGTAAAAAGTAAGAAGGGTTGGAGATGTTGCTCAGTAGTAAAGCTCCCTGGGTTGGATTCCCAGTACTCTAAATAAAAGAAGAAAAAGAAGAAGTTGTAGAATTGAAGTCTCAATTCTTTTTATTGGTGCTAAAAATATGTCTTACATTTAGTCAGCCTATTCAGTATATTAGTTTATCAATATCTGATAACAGTATTTTGATGCATAATTTTTAAATGTTTAAATTTATCATCTGCCATACATGAAAAGATAATATTTCAAATTTACATCATATTAATTGCCTTTAAACAATCCTCCTTTAAAAAATACAATTAAATTTGCAGGTTTTTTTCCCCCTTTTTGGAAGCTGGGGATTTAATCCAGAGCCTCATACATGCTAAGCATGCACTGTACCTCTGAGCGACATCTCTAGTCAGAGAGCGTTTTTATTAGTAAAGCATGAAAGCCTGGTAATAAATTATAAAGCAAATATTTGTCGAAAGTTTTAGTGTACTCATTTTACTCTGGCTTTAAGCAAAACATACATTTTCCTCCCTATTCTCACTATTGGTTTTAGGAAAATAAAATGTGTTATCATTTAAAAAAAAAAAAAAGGAATATCCAAGAAAAACCAAAAGTACATGCATGAAAGAACACATGAGTACTACACTGTGGACCATGGCCAGGCATCCCCTCCTCACCATGAGGTGACCACCGTGCAGCGCTCTCTTTGTCCTCTTGCTGGCTGATGTCTGAAGATCTGTTGTTTCATTTGTTGAGCTTGGTTTGCTGAGGGCACTGATTGTTGTAGCTATGACCACCGTTGTGTTCTTAGAGATTGTTAGAGTCTGTTATATTTATGGTTCTGTGATCGTGTAGCCTTAATCCTCAGTTTATTTTCTTAGCTTTGCTTTTCTTATTTACTTCTCATAGTTTTTTTTTTTTTTTTTAATCATTTCAAGTCTTGTTTTCTCAAGTTCATTGCATTCCTTAAATTTCTTCTAAGCCATCACAGTGCAGTTTCTTGTTTGGATGTGTTTTCTGCAACTTGCTATTTTTTTCTTTGTCATTTCTTTGTATTTTGCTTGCCTCCCTTCCATGCGGTATTCTTAAATCTTAAACTCATACTTAAGTCAACAGCTGTGTCTAGACCTGATACTTGCTTTTCCCTGTAATCCAGAGGGGAGGGTTCTGTGCAGGTGGTGCCCCTGCCAGGATGCATGTGACTTTGGTTGGGGGACCCTGGTTTGAGATTGGCTGTTCTTTCTTTAGATAGCTGGCCAGGGTTCCCTTCCCTTAGCAGAGTTATATTCATATCCTATATTTTCTACTTCTTTTCTTGGATTCTGTCTTATTCATTTTGTTTGCTTTTAGTTTGATTCATATATATTCATATATATTTTCTTCATTTTGTCATTATTATCTAGAAGTCTTAGAAGGGATTTCTAAACCACTCAATAAATCCTAAAAAGAATCAAAACGTGTGACTGTTTATGGGGTACATTTTTATTTTTGTAATCATTAGCATATAAGAAAATTGTATCTCCCCCTCCTGGCTTGTTCTCAGGGTAAAATACTGATCTGGTTCACTAGTGAGGAGCATTTGGATATCATCCTTATAGAGTCTGAATCTAAATTATATTGAGCTAGAGAAGTTGTAGCCTTCTCTTTGAGCAAGAAATAAAAGCATGATGCAATAAGTGCAAGATAGTCCTCTTTCCGGTTCTGCTGCTGACAAGCCATGGTCTTGAGTAGGTTGTGTGCCTGTGATCTGTAAACATGGTCTTTATGTCTCCGGGGTGAAGGGCATTAAAGAACAGTGCTCTAAATGGAAAGGTTTTAACAATATAGAGTAAATTATTCATTTAGATGAAAGTTAATTTTTGGAACATTAAATTCTTTGTACATTGTGAATAGATTTAATGTATTGAATGTATTATATTAATACAAATAAAGGACTTGAAATTTTTGTCAAATTTTTAAAATTCCTTAGTTACTATGTGAATGTACCGTCACTGTTAAAAAATTTCAAGCAATACGCATGCTATCTATCTTCCCACCCATGCACCAATCTTGCTCCGGTTCCAGAGCTAAATTCTATATTTGGCATGTATATAGTTCCTATACAGATATGTGTGTGTGTTCTTCCAGGCTGTTTTCCACACATTTATGAAACAAATGGCAAAAATTTATTGCCATAATGTGTGTATTTCCCCTTTCTTCCTTTAATAAAATTCCTGAACTTTACTTGGACACATGGTTGTTCAGCTAATGACTATACTTCTCAACCTCTGTGATAGTTGAGTATGGCCACGTGCTGAAGTTTGGGGCTGTGGGATGTAAAACTTCCAGATAGAGTCTTCAGTAAGGAATTAATGTATACTCTTCTTGACTTTTTCTTCTTGCTGGTGGGAATGCCCATGGGAGTTTCGGCATGCCCTGGCATCTCCAAAGAGGTTATGTGTTGAGGATGGAGAAGTTGATCTGCCAGTATTGAACTGTGCTCTTTGCTCTGTTACTTAAGAGTAAAATAAACTACCGACTTACTTAAACCATTGTATTTTGGAGTTCCTATTATAGGAGCTAATTTGTTTATTACATATAATTTACATTAATGGAATTATATCATCCTTATTGCAATTAAAATTAACATTATATACAGACATCTTTTCATTCTTACAGCTATACTTTCATGGAATTGCTAGCTTAAAAATAATACAGTTTAAAAAGTTTTTTAGTTGTGAATGGACATTTATTTATTTATATGTGGTGCTGAGAATTGAACCCAGTACCTCACACATTCCAGGCAAGTGCTCTACCACCGAGCCACAACCCCAGCCCCCATTTTAATATTTTGCAATGAATGTAGTGAATTTATTTCCTCCAATTCACAATACATTGAAAGGACCTGTTTCTCCACACCCATGGCAGCAGGAGATAGATAGTCTCAGGCTCAGTAGGTTTTTGTGAAAATCTTGTGGTTGAAAATAACCTTGGTTTAATTTGAATATTCCTGATTACCATAAAACCAAACATTTCTATGTTTATTGATTATTTGTAGATCTCTGCTGTATCATGCCTGTTCATGACATATTTGCCTGGGTTTTTATGAGTATTAAATTTTTTAGGGTTGTTCCACACAGAAATAAAAGGCAGTTTTCACAGCTATTAATGAATAGTCTATTATTTTTTCTGCCCAGTTAAAATCCCAAGTTTTAACTCATCATATATTAAGTCATTTACTTCTAGAAATGTATCTAGATGTCTATTTTACCACACTCTTCACACTGTCATTTGGTTTTGCGCCATATTTTGCCGCTTGTGGACAAGTCCCACTTCCTTTTTTACTCTCTTTGGTGTCTTGTGCATGTTCAATTCCAAATTAATTGTACAATCAGCTTATTAAGTTCCACTAAAATTGTGTTATTCTTTTGATCGAGATTGTATTACCTTATTAGTTTAAGGATAATAGACTTTTTCATAAGTAATATAATTTTCCTCATTAGTTTCATGATGGGCCTCATTTTAAGTCCTTTATATTCTTGGATAAAATTTTAATAACTGTTCAAAATCTTTTATAGTTCATATTAGGCTTACCACTGGGTATAGATTTTGGGGTTGGAGATCTTTTCTTTTTTACTTTTACATAAGGAGATTAAAACATCCATAGATGTACTTTTTGAGTTTTATTATTCAGGAGTTTTAAAATTTTAAATATAGTGAATTTAATCTTCCCATGTTTCGTCTCCTTATTTAAGAAGATGTTCCCTAATCTGGTTTCCTAAAAGTTCATCCTTTTCCTCCTAATATATAAAATCATCTTTACATTATATACCATTTCCATATAATTAATGGGAAAGTTTCTGGATTGTTTATTCTGTTAAATTGATAAAATTGTGTAGATCTTCATCTTTAATGTCACTCTTAGTGTGGTGAAGTACACAGTTAAATTTTCCAACTTCAAAACATCCCTTAGACTTCCATCTCCAAAATGTCAGTATGATGGGCCCTGTAGACCCATGAATCAAACATAATCAGTGAAATTTGTAAAAACATATGATGTTTTTGGAAATTGTCCTAAAATTATATGTGAATGAAGTAATACTTATTCAAGAAAACCTACTAAACCTTGGTAAGAACAGTGAGTCTATGATGTTTGAGATACAACATTTCCCTCACCTAGAGGCTCCAGGTATGTATTTCAAGAAAACGGAGCTCCCTCTCAGCTCACAGTCAAGGGATAAAGTACCTCACCTGGGAAGGGTAGGCTGTCAGCATTTCTCCAACTCCCCTAGCTCCAAGTTGTAGGAGCTAAATTAATGGAGTTTAATACTATTATAAAAAATGCAGTAGAGAAGTCAACAGTAGATTCGAATTAGCAGGAGAAATTTTCCATCACCTTGAAGACTGACAGATTATGCTATCTGAAGAATACGAAAAAGTAGAAAAATGAACACAGCCTTAGAGAAATGTGAAACGTCACCAAGTACACCATTAAAACACAGTTAAATGTATATGTAATGGATTTTCAAGAACAAGAGGGAAAGAAGAAAAATTAAATAATGACTGTAAACTCCCTGAGTTTACTGAAAAACATCCAGGAAGGTCAGTGACCTTGAAGCATAGTAAATGCAAAGGGACTCACAGACATATAGTAAAAATGCTGAACTCAAACAGAAAAATTTGAGCAGTAAACAGAAAGTGGAAAGGCAACTTCAGTAAGATTGAGAGCTGACCTCTCAGAGGGTAGAAAAAAATGGAGGCCAGAGGCAGGGATGGCATTCAGAGTGCTCTAGAGAGGGGATAAAAGAAAAAGTCAACAAAAAATCTTATCAAGAATGAGGGCTCAGGGGTATAAATCAATGATTAAGCATTTGTCTAGCATGTGCAAGGCCCTGGGTTTGAACCCCAGCACTGCAAAAAACAAAAGAAAAAAAACCTACAAGAATTAAAGTTTTTCTCAGGTAAAAATAAATAAAAATTGTTGCTAATGGATCTTTTAAACAAGAAATATTCAAATTTGGGTTGGGAATATAGCTCAGTTGGTAGAGTGCTTGCTTATCAGACAAAATCAGCTTTTAAACAAAATGTTACCAGAGAGAGAGAGAGTGATAAAAGGGTCAATCCATCAGGAAGATATAACAATTATATGCACCTAATACCAGCACCAAAACACATGAAGCAAAAACTAATAGAAATGAAGAGAGAAATCAATGACACTAATAGTTGGAGATTTAAAATACCCGATTTCTAATAATTCTATCCAGTAATGGATAGAAAATTAGAAGGTTAACAGTGAAATAGAAGTCTTGACACTGCAAACCAAGTACACCTAACAGATATCTATAGAACATTTCATCCAACAACCACAGTCTGTCTTATCAAATTCACAAGAAACTTTATTCAACATAGACCATATGCTAACCCATAAAACTTCAATGAATTTAAATAGAAAAAATACAAAGGATATTCAGTGTTCACAATCATGAAATTAGAAATCAAAATGGCAAAATTTAAGAAGCTTATAAATTTTAGAGAATTAAATAACAACCAATGAGTAAAGAAGAAAACCCAAAGAAAATTAGAATATATTTTGAGACAAATGAAAACAAAGACACAACATATTAAAACTTAAGGGATGTGCTTGGGAAATTTATAGGTGAAATTGCCTACATTATAAGGGAAACAAGGCTTAAAATCAAAAGCCTTACCTTCCATTTAAGTCACTAGGAAAAGTACAGCAAACTAAACCTAAAGCAAGCAGAAAGAAATAATAAGGAGTGGAATGGAAATTAATGAAATAAAGATAGAAAAACAATAAAAATCAAAGTTACAAAAACTGTTTCTTTGAAAAGATCAACAAAATTGACAAATCTTTAGCTAGTTTGATCAAGAAAAAGAGAACTCAAATTACTAGGATCAGTTGTGAAAGATTACTGCCAAGCTTACAGGAATAAAAGCAATTATAAAAGAATACTTCAGTTTTATGACAAAAAAAATAGATAACTTATGGACAAATTCTTAAAATGACATGAACAACTGAAACTGACTCAAGCTGAAATAGGCAATCTGAATAGACCTATAACAAGGAAAAGGTTAAATCAGGTAATGAAAAACTGTCTACAAAGAATTGTCCACAGGTGGCTTCACTGCTGTATTCTACAGAGCAATCAAAGACTTAACATGGATTATTCAAAAAGAAATAGAAGGGGAGGGTGTATTTCCACCTTATTTTATGAAGCCAGTATTGGGATGCTAAAACCATTCAAAGATGTCACAAAGAAATAAAACTACAAACCAATATAGCTTATGAATATGGATGGTAAAATCCTCAATAAAATACTAATGAACCAAATCTAGCAACTTAGAAAAAGAATTGTACACCACCATCAAGTGATATTTATCCCAGGGATATAAGGTTGATTTAACATCTGAAAATCAACTAATATAATACATCATAGCAATAGAAAAAAAAAGTCACACAATTATCTCTATAGATACAGAAAAAGCATTTGAGTAAATCTGACATTTTATTACAAAAATGGTCAAAAAACTAGAAATGGATGATAACTTACTTAACTTAATAAAGGGTATCTATGAAAAACTGACAGCTAACTTAATTCTTAATGGAAAAATACTGAATGCTTCTCTCCTATGATCATGATTAAGACAAAGGTGGCTACTCTTATCATTTCTCTTCAACATTGACCCATTGCAATTAGACAAGAAAAAGAAAGAAGAGGAATCCAGGTTAGAAAGGAAAAGGTAAAACCATCTGTATTCACAGATGACATGATCATGTATACAGAAAATCTTAAGGAATACATTAAAAAGCTATTAGAACAAAACAAATTCAGCAAGATTGGAGGGTACAAGATCAATATTTTGAAAATCAGTTTACTTCTATGTATTTGCAATGAATAATC